ACCATATTTTAAAACTACACATAATCTTATACCTTCATCTTTTTGAACCACTTTCATTTATACAGTTCTTTGTCCAATCATACAATATTTACGCCGGTTTTCTTTAACTTACTAAGATGCTCTTGCTTAAAAATTACATCAACAAGAGAGAACTAAACTAAGCCGTGATACCATAACTATTCCACCACAAACGAATCAACTTCAGTAGGCATGAACGTGTCTGCTCCGCTTCTCTTCCTTTCTTTTTATTACCCTCTTTTTCAGCCCCCTCGATATATGCCACTGAAAACACGTATGAAATGGGTGACTTCGTCCTGCTCCATTACTAACGCTTCAGCTGTTCCAGAAGGATAGATGGTTGCGGTTTCTAGAAGCTCTTAACTGTATGTGGATTTATTCTTGACCAACCGTTGTACATCGCAACACAACGTCCATAAAGCGCTTCAATTGTCATATTTGCAATACGAGTCTTACTAATATTATTTACATTCATATGTGAGAAGTGTTATACCCTATAATTCTATGACCAATGTAGCTTATAAAATATAAACCTGAGTAATCTACTACAGTGAAGACTGTATCCACCATAACAATTTGATCTTGCCTGTAATTTGGCATGCCTTATGTGACCGATTGTTATTTGGGAATAAATTAATATTATTTAGGCTGGAGAAAAAGTATTTAATATGAATAAAAGAGATAGGTCGCACAAAAATTATCACTCATGCAAGGTGGAGTCGATCCATCTCATTCAATGTATGTTACCGCGTTCACCATTGTTTACCTTCTCTTCGTGTTACATGGTGATCGTGAATCTCCTCAGTGATAATATGTTCAGCTTCGAAGACCATGGGGTTATGGACCAATACCACTAGAGTGTCTCCTGTTTGCAAGTGTATTATCAAGTGACCTTTTATGCAATTGTGAAATTGTAATTTGGAGCAGACAGAACTTATCTATATTCATTTGTCGATACCTGTTGACTACAGAGACCTGGGTAAAATCTGTTTCGGCATTGTAAGTACCTTTATTTTTATTAGTACCAACTCCTTAATCAGTTACTACGTTTTTGATTATTCTACTCGATGAACATAGTACTGTCAATTTTATGTCTATATTGATTGGAATTACGGACTTTATAGCACTGAATAGCGGCATTACGGTGATAGCCTTTCTTTGAGTTGATCTTACAGCGAAACACTGAATACTCCCGTCTCCATCGTTGGTACCAATCAGCTCTCGGGATCGTTGTTCTGTTGCATTTTCTATTCGTGTTTATAACATTTATTCGGAATCGCCAAATATTTTGGAATCGTTGGACATTATACTTTTGCTAACTGTATGTATCATTCTGAAATACCTCTATCAAGAAAGAAGCCAGTTCTAGTACGACTGAGCGATAGCAAACATTTTAGGAGTTCGTACGTGATACGCGGCAAGTTACTGACAACAAATTCACTAAGTGCACTACATAATAAAGTAACGGCTCGCCATGCAGACAGAGTCAATAATAAAACGATAGATACCGACTTGAATCAGATGTGTAAAAACCATGAGTACTTTTGCTGATGTAACGATGAGCTAACAGATAGATTGCATTGCTCCATCGGTGACCAGTCGAATTAAGGGGTCTCTGTTCATGAAAGTGAGACTGAACATAGAGTAGCTGTAAAATCACCAGTCTTCGCCAACTGACTGCAGATAAATAGAGTGAAAAATATGCTTTCGATAATGATATTAGAAGACGAACTATGTGATTTATTAGCGCAATACATTTCGAACAATCTGGTCACACATATACTTGTTAAGAGCATCTATATATAAAAATAAAAGGTCAACTAGACAGGAAACGGGGTAAGAGGAGATAAGGATAATGATAAGAGTAATAATAATAATGTGAACACAATTCGAAACCTAATCACCCTGGATAATAAGCCAATATTACCAGGGTAGGTTTAAGGTAAGAACAAACTGTTTTTGAACACACAAAGGGGGTTTGAATTTTCGTATGGCTAAGGCTTCAATAAACCTTAGTATACTCCCTTTTACACTTTTATACAACACTACGAAAGCTGAGTTTAGATCAATCTTATGACCTGTTTCAATTATGTGTTTAGCAATAGAGGATGATGGATGTTTATCCTCTGCTCTTATTGGGTCACCTGATTGTATTTGTTCCTGCAGCCATTTGGGAACCCTAATGTTGAGATCACGATTGCTCCTCCCTATGTATGTGTGACCACACACACATTTAAATTGGTAAACACAGTGGGATTTGACGCAATCGTTTCCATGTACTTTAGGTTTTGAATGAAGCATGCACCTTGTTCTTTCTTTGATGATGACCTTTGCTGCGCAATACGTTTTATTGATGACTGATTTAAGTCGTTGTTTCAATAAAAGACTATTTGAATCACCTCTGAACGGTAAAGTGATGTAGACAGGTTGTTTCTCTACCGAGGCTACAGTAGGTCTCGCTGTACCATGGACTTTCCATCTATTTATGAATTTCAGAGGATAGCCATTTTCTATTAACGTTTTATTAAACAGCTTAACATCATCATCAATGGCGTCATTGGTACAAATACGGTCGAGTCTGTTGAAAAGACATCTTGTCAAACCACGTTTGTATTGCACAGGGCAATAACTATAATAACTAAGATATTGACCCGTTCACGTTGGTTTTTTAAAAACAGATCGCTTGACTGAGCCATCTCGTCAACTCAGAAGTATATCTAGGAAAGGGAGCTGATTGTTTTTCTCCTCTTCACATGAGAGACTAATATGGTTTTGGAGAGTGTTAAGTTTATTTAATAAACGGTACATATCCTCTTTTCTCTCACAAACAACTAAGATATCGCCCACATATCTCTTATAAAGTGACATGTTTCCGATTAGGTCATCAGTCTGATCTTCAACATGTGCCATGAACACCCGCTAATAATGTTCCTAGCGGACTACTAATGGCAACACCATCAATCTGACGAAAGTATTCACCTTCAAAAGTGAACTGAACTTTGTCAGCACATAATAACAGTAAATCTTTAAGAAGTTTTACAGGTACACGTGATTGAAAATTGTTTACAGATATGTAATCACATAATATATCAATGGTTTTTTTCAAAGGTACATTTGTAAACAAGGAATGTACATCAAATGAACACATTGTCTTTTTCTTGATATTAATACCACCTAAATGGTCAACCAGTTCAAAAGAATCCTTCAGAGAATACTTACATAGATGTCTTCGAATAGGGTCCAACAACTTTGTTAACCATTTAGCTAGATTATATGTAGGTGATCTGCACATTGATAGAATTGGACGTAAAGAAACATTAGGTTTGTGAATTTTAGGTAGTCCATATAAATGAGGATACTCGGAACCCATAGGTTTTAGAAAATTAAATTCCTCTTTATTATTAATATTCATGCGTAACAATTTTTCTAGGTTTGAATTTACTCTTCTTTCTAGTTTGCTAATACCTCCAAATTCAACATCAGGCATAAATTTACTTTCATCACTAAGGATGGATAACATCTTACTTTTATATTCACATTTATTCATGATAACTACGCCTGATCCTTTATCAGGTTTTAACAATACAATATCAGAGTTTGTTCGTAGTTCTTTTAATGATTTAAAATGCTGAGAAGTTAATATGCTTCTCTGCTTCGGTCCAACATTATGAAATTGGTGTGCTATATCCACTAGTTTAGCTTTACACCAGCTTTGATTATTTAAAGACGTAGGGGTTAGAGTACTCAGTTGATCGTATAGATTTTCAAATTGGACATTTATTTCCAATTCAGACATTTGCGTTATAGGGACAGAGAAATTAAAACCAAGAGAAAGTGCTTCCTTTTCATTAGCAGATATTACAATTGAAGATAAATTAGTGACATACTTTTCAGGATTTACTGGGAATAAATTAACTTGATTAGTAATAATACAAGATTTTTAGAGCTTTTCACTGATCCTTTCCTTTGTTTTCAAAATGGTATTACTGCAAAATGTGGTGAATTTAATATGGCAGACTATAGATATTTCATTTAATATAGGCAATGCTTGAGTGTGTAATTCCATTAAATTGATCAGTTTGTCTTGGCACTTATCTATATATGATTTCGACAATCGAATAAGATTTGAAATATTTGGTTGTAATTTACTTGAACGTAAGTTCTTGTATAGTTGAGTTGGGAATATGTGACTCGACATGCCAGATTTATAGAAGTTCAGTTTCGCGCGTTCCGATACAATTTTGAAAAATATGCGGAAATTATTTGATATTGAGAATGCTCGCTCTGGAATTGTTGAATTACTGAATGTAAAAGATATAAAACTGTCTAACGTTACTGTAACAGCATAAGTGGTGTGGCTAAGAGTTTGCTTAGAACGTCTGATTAATACTTCGTGGAGGCACGGTATTTCTTGCTATTCTATGCTGAATGTTGATAGATGAGTGTTCTAAAAAGAAAACTTCACGATAGCACCGTTCTGCGCTATAATCTGCAGGCTCTTAATATACATAAGTGAGTGTTAAATGTCATGATTATTAAGAACTGTATATACTGTAAAAGGCTTTACATATGTGTTCTTTGTGAGTGTTGGTTCTGCTAAGCACTAATCACAAAAGGGGGGTTTTCATATTTCCTGATAACTTTAATCCATATCGGAACCCAATTGTCGCTTTAAGTAAGCGGGGTGATATTGCCCTGTTATTGTTTATATAAAGCCAAATTTTAATGTGAATTAAACCTCTTTCACGAACGTGCTTTGCTGAAAGATGAGAGAATTAAAAATATACTAGCAATAATGTCAGTTCGTAATATGAGTAAACGTTTTCTAATATATCTTAAGTTTGACTGTAACAAAATAAAAATGTTTACAATCATCATTTAGTTTAAGTGTTCATCATTTTACCTCTATCTGCTTCTGGCGGTCACTGTGACTTTTGACTTTGGCGGGTTTTCGCCTTTTTTGTTGATGTCAATTAGCTAGTATGTTACTTTCTGAATCCAGAGCCAATCTTTTCGACTCTTTCAAAGCTGATTCTCCAGATGATGAGTTCAGCAAACCGAAGAGATGTTTGAAGTCGGGATCAAGCCCTCATAAATCATTGAATATGATTATTTTGGAAGGTATATATTTTGTACTTTTTTCTACTGTTTTGTCTTATCATCAGATTTTTTTTACCTTTTTATAAAATGTGGTTCATGTTTTTAATGCCTTTTAACGTGTTCGATCCCGGTTAATTTGGTATTTCTGACAATATGTCATATCCTGTGAAACACATGTCTTACCCGTTTTGTAACAACGCAAGTAAAAACCTTCTGTTTAGCGTTTTTTGAAAGGACTTTTGAATAGAGGGGAAGTGGATCTTGACACTGAGTTATCATGTTGTAACGATAGCATTATCCTTTGAGTGTTAAACGATTTTTTACGCGACTTTCATGGTAGATTATAAATTTGTAGTTGTTCACCGATTTTCGAGAGACAGCATTGCCTATAGGCAGTATTGAAGTTGATAGAGGTACAATCACTGAAGGTAAGATTTGCCATTCCAGTCCAGCTGGGTTTAAAATTTATTTACTACGTTATCTCGATCCCTTTAAGCTTACATATAGCCGTCAGTGGTCAGTCAGTCAGCAACGTAATACTTCGTACGTGCGTATATCAGTTCGAGTTGCCGTATCACGTCAGCACAGAGATACAATTTTCGATTCAAATCCCATAGTGACAGAGGTAGCAAGAGTATAAGCAGTAGTCGGAAAGATTAGGGTTTAAAGATGTTATTCAAGGAGTTTAATCCAGTGAAACAAATTTGGAAAGAAAATAAGGGACATGAAGAATTCAGAAGATTAGAATTTGGTAGAACACAAAGAGTGGATGCACCTGCGTCTCTAACCATCGGTCGCTATGATCTCGCGGATCCCAACCAGGTAGTCTACACCTACCAACATGGCTCGGTCCACTTGTTACTGACTTCATGGATTTTTGCCATGTTTTGGTCTGGCCACCTCTAGCTTTCTTCCAACCTACTACACCATAAAACACCGCACGTCGGGGCAGTTGGTGTTTGGGCGTAGGCAACATGTCGTAAGTGGAGTTCAAGCCCATTCTAAACACCCACCATCGTTTCTTTGGAACTATGTATCTTGTGTGCATGCGCAGTTTTTAACTGCGTCATTTCGTCAACTCACAACGTCTTTCATAACCTGCCTATATTGTATTGCTGCTCAGATTTCTGGAATGAAAATGCGATCGTACTGGCTTTTTTTCCTTAAATGTTTCCAAATGAGTGAGTTTTTTTCTCACCCTTGTGATGCAGGGGAAGTTGTTTTTGAGGTTAAGAGCCAATATTGTGCTCCAACAACGCTAAACATCCTTAATAATACCCCACTCCAAGCACATTGCTCGACAACCTGTCCGTCATAATTTGATTTTGTCTACCGTATAAAGGGCAAAGTTTCAATTATTAGTGTGCATCGAAGTCCAGATGATAGTAAGTGGTACTTGTTAGGTAATCATCTCACATTCCTTCAGTTACAGTCTTATCTAAAGGATGTTTATTGTGCCATTTTAAGTCCCCGACCGTTGTTGCTATCTTAACGTGGCGGTCGGGCTTGCGTATCGTGTTGAAGCAACCGAGCTATACTGGCTAAAATAACTGTTCCTCAAGGTCCTACCATGTCAGACAGGTCGGTTGAAGAGCGGTAAGAATAAAAGCAACAAACCTAAGGTCAGAAGGCGAAGTCGTACTTCTGACTGTGCAGAGGTGTGACAGCAGTAAGGTTTTTCCTCCAGACAACAAGCATGATAGCGATGCTGCCTTGCCACAAGGAGGCGTGGGGTTAGAAAAGGTTGACCCTAGAAATGCACACCTCGCCTTATCCCACGGATATCCGTCTCTGGCGGTAAGGTCTCAACAAGTACGAAGCTAACACAAAAATTACCCATAAAAGGTCGTGTGTGACCGACCTCAAGCAGTTGTCCCTTGGGCACTGTGGTCACACTCTCAGGTCACTAAGACCACCTCTAATCCAATTTCCTTTTCAGGTACCTCCAGAAGAACCCTTCCACGGTGTGGGCAGCCTGGAAGTGATAACCGCCCTCATACCTATAACAGCACTCAGGACCACTGTATTCATAATCATTTTAAGTCACTAGTGGCCAAAGTAAAATAACGTTATCGTTTCTAGATAATTTTCAAGCCAATGTGCTCAGCAGGGGTTTATTCGGAGTTCGTCTATATATATATATATATATATATATATATATATATATATATATATATATATTCATCGTCATCAGAAGGCAGTAATCAGCACTTTGCTGCAACAGGCTAGATTTGCGTCCGTATATAGACATTTAAGAAATAATGCTAACATTCCTTACCATACATATTGATGTTTGTTGTCTATCCGAGACCCGTATTCAAGACTCTGGCGAAGTACTACAAATTCGATCTCCATCTGTCGCTTCGAAAAGCTTGTTTTACGTGCGCTTATCCGGGGACCCTGTGGCATCTTCGTCTGGTCTTGCTGGCGTTGGTGTCGCACTAAGCGCTAGAGCTGAGGCAGCACTAGTCGATTGGATCCCCATTAACAGTCGGTTATGTGCTGTTAGATTAGAAAGTTCCATCAAAGTGAGAAGAAATCGGCGTGAGAAACGATGTCTTTTCGTCATCTCCGCCTATGCCCCGACAGATTGCAGCCCGGATGCAATCAAGGATGAGTTTTACCACCAGTTATCTGTTCTTCTCCAGAAAGTGCGTTCGACAGATATTGTAGTACTAGCCGGAGACTTGAATGCTCAGGTCGGGCGTCTAGGCACAGAAGAGAGTCGTTTAGGTGGCCGATGGGGACTCGTTGGTCGCAGGTCAGATAACGGGGACCGTCTACTGCAACTTTGCACAGACCACAACCTGTTTCTGGCTAGCACTAACTTTCGGCACAGTCATCGCCGATGTGCCACCTGGCGTCCTCCCTCTGCATCTCAAGCCTGGACTCAGATTGATCACATCGCGATCAGCTACCGCTGGCGTGGTTGTGTACAAGACTGCCGCTCCTTTTGGAGTACCTATCTGGACTCTGACCATGCCTTGGTCTGCGCCAATCTTGCCTTACTTTTCAGTGGACAACGAAGTGACCGCCATCAACGGATTGATGTTAGCAAGCTGGTTGCAACTTCTGTTGCAAGTAAGTATCGAACCGAGCTAGCCTCTAGGCTAGCTACCACTCCACCGAAAAGTATAGATGAGCATTGGTTGCAATTGCATGACGCCATGAAAATGGCGGGAACAGTCAGTTGTGGGTTTGCGAAACGTCCCGCTTTAAGCACTGGGTTTCTTCTGGTTCCTTACAACTCATTGAAGCCCGTCGGTCTACTCCGGGTGACCGTGAGTTTGACCATAAACGAAGGATGTTACGTAAGGAAATTGGGCAAAGCTTGCGTAAGGACCGAGAAGCCTGGTGGTCGAGCGTGCTAATGAGCTGGAAGCAGCAGCTGCATCTGGTAACTACCGGAAGCTCTTCCAACTCATCCGAGCCACTGGCAGCAAGAAGTCTGGTGTGAGTGAAACAATCTGCGAGGATGATGGGATGCCAATCACTAACATCCATCGACGTCTTGGACGATGGGCAGAATTTTTCGAAGGGCAGTTCAACTGGCCTGCTGCTCCGGCAACATCGGTCAGACTGTCCTGCCCTCCATGGCCGGTGACGACTGATCCACCAAATGAGGAGGAAGTCCGCAAGGAACTCCAACTCTTGAAGCGTTACAAATCACCTGGCCCAGATGACTTACCTCCGGCTCTTTTTAAAGATGGTGGTGACTTTTTGACTAAGGAATTGACGACGTTGTTTACAAAGGTTTGGGAACTAGAGAGTGTACCAACGTCATGGAATGAGTCGATAGTTGTCCCTATCTTTAAAAAGGGTTCACGTCGTTCCTGTAACAACTATCGGGGGATAAGTCTACTTCCGATTGCGTCCAAGCTATTGGCTTCCGTCATACTTCGTAGGTTGTTCAAAACCCGAGAAAGATTGACTCGCGAGGAGCAGGCTGGGTTTCGTTCTGGTCGAGGATGTATTGATCATATCTTCACCCTCCGCCAAATGTTAGAACACCGCCATACTTATCAAAGGCCAACAATCGTAGTGTTTCTTGACATCAGGGCTGCCTTCGATTCGTTGGACAGGACTGTTCTCTGGGATTGTCTATTGAAGAAGGGTGTGCCTGAGAAGTTTATTAACATCCTAAAAGCCCTATATAAAACACCTCAGGCAGAGTGAGGGCATACAACCACCTCTCTCCATTGTTCCATTCGAGCAGTGGGGTTAGGCAGGGTTGCCCAATCTCACCATTCCTCTTCAACTTTGCCATCGATGACATTCTGGAAACAGCTCTGATGAATGTAAGTAATGGTGGTGTGGATCTGTTGCCTGGAGAAAGACTTCTCGACCTTGAGTATGCGGACGATATTGTCTTACTGTGCGATAATGCCCAAGGCATGCAATCCGCACTTAATCAGTTGGCAATCAGTGTCCGTAGGTATGGTATGTGCTTTGCACCTTCGAAGTGCAAAGTACTTCTACAAGACTGGCAGGATTCTAATCCTGTACTCACCCTGGATGGTGAGCAGATAGACGTAGTCGAGAAGTTCGTGTATCTGGGTAGCTGCATAAGTGCTGGTGGGGGTGTGAGTGATGAGATCAATGCACGTATAGTGAAAGCCAGAGCGGCTTATGCCAATCTGGGCCACCTTTGGCGCCTTCGTGATGTTAGTCTGGCTGTAAAAGGTCGGATCTACAACGCGTCGGTGAGAGCAGTTTTGCTCTATGCTTGTGAAACCTGGCCTCTCCGAGTTGAGGACGTTAGACGACTCTCTGTGTTCGATCATCGCTGTCTCCGAAGGATTGCTGACATTCAGTGGCAACACCATGTCAGTAATGCAGAGGTTCGGCATCGTGTGTTCGGGCACAGAGATGATAATGCAATTGGTGTCACCATCTTGAAACACCGACTTCGGTGGCTTGGACATGTTCTACGAATGTCGTCCCAGAGAATTCCACGTCGTGCATTATTTGCCGACTCTGGGACTGGTTGGAAGAAGCGGAGAGGTGGTCAGTGCATGACATGGTGTCGTGGTATGAAAGAAAGCTGCAAAGGACTGGCTTCTGTTGGTCCTTCACGACTCCCTGGTTGGGGTCTGAGAGATGGTGCTACACAGTGGCTAGAGACGTTATCAGATATGGCTCAGAATAGAAGCCAGTGGCGATCCTGCTGTAATTTTCTTTTTCTTTCTTCATAAAAGTGGTTGTTTCTTCCTTAACTGAAAGATTTGCTCTGATTGTACCTATCCGTTCCCCCATTATGACTATGATTATTACTACACTCCCTTACAGCAATCTCTTCATTATTGTTTAAAAAAAAATTTTTTTTTCTTAAATCCTCATTGTTTTTTGTGGCGCATATATATTTGGCGCACTCCTGTACCAATATATGTGTTCAAATAAATAATAAATTCATACTAAGTTATCTAATGGCGTGTAATCGAAATTCGTTTAGCAACCGGGAGATAAAAGACACGTGCTATTTCAGTACAAAATATGCGAATTAAAATCTTACACGTCATTCAGAACTGTAATTAAATTTTGAGACGAAATCCGTTTGTTGTCATCCATGAATGGGCATTCTGAATAAATATTTTATGTGTTTGTTTGTTCTCTTTGCAAATGACTATTGTATACGTGAACAAGGTGCACTTAATCTTTATGCACATGATTTGTCTGTATTTCAGATGAAAATGATGATGATGACGAACGTTTGGCTCGACGAAAGTCACGTTTACTTGAGCCTCATCCCGCTAGTGTTAATAGTCCAGGTGCTAGCTCTACTGCAGCTAGACGACGCGCAGACGCCGCAGCTCCACGTGGTATACCTCAGGCACAAATTGGTGAACATTATGGCAATTGTATTCGACTAGCTGCGGAAAATAAAATCACGGCCAAAAATGCTTTTAACTTACATCTGATCGATTACATGAGTGAAATGATAAAAAAGGAGGACTTCGCAAGCTTCCAGGTATTATACGTCTTTTACTTCGACTTTCTTATTTGTACAAAGTCTATACAATCAGTTTTTTCCTTTTGCATCACAACGGTCAAGCTGTTGTTTTGAAAAATAATAAATCACGTTACTTAGTCACTGAAACTGCATTGATATTATGATAGTATTTTTAGCTAGTTAGTGATAACCGTTTAATTCAGTAGCGGTTAGGTTAAAAATCTAATGTGATGGTAAACGCACCAGGTCAAGTAAATGTATAGCAAATGAATGCAACGGTTATTCTAGCGAATTATGTGCTGAGAGCACCAATCTTTCAATGCTGTTTGATTCACTGAAGGAGAATGTCGACATCTTTAATACTTTTGTGGTTTATGAAGTGAATATTTAGATGCTGATTGAGTCTTACAACCTGACTGCTTGTTTTCGGGTCGACATATATTGAAGCTGTTTCAAGCTTAGGTTTTAAAGATATAGATCCCTCAATTGTGTAGGTTATGTACCTATCCCTGTATGTATTTCGTCAGTAGCCAAAATTATCTGAATAAACTTATTTAGGAAAATATATGGCTTAATGAATGTTGACTAGCTGGGACATTTGATGACATTCAATAAATAGTAGTTAGGTTTTTCTGTTCTCTTCAGTTACCAACCATTCCCCAACAGCCTGAATAAAAAACTGACAATACCTCCCCCGGCTGTTAAAAAAATTGGGAAGGAAACTTCGTCGGGAGAAGAGAGACCTACTGCGTTGAATCATGTCTATGTGCCTTGCAAGTTGATGGTCCAGTCTTAGCAGTAAAACTGAGTAGCTAACCAGAGCCAGGTAGTTCCATACATATCTCTCAAACCAGTTACAATCACGGATCTGTCATCAGGATTGGCAGCCTCAAGTAATCTTGATCGAACTCCCCCACTTCATTTTTATTTAATTTTGTTATGGGCATATCTTCAAAGATAATACTTCTGGATTCCCAGAAGTTGATCTTCTACCGGGAGAATCTAAAGTACACAAATGATATGGTTCTGTTGGACAAAAACGCCTAAAATATGCCGTCTTCTAAACACCATGAGTAACCATGCATACTTGTTTAAAATGAATTTCTCCCCTAAATGTTACCTCAAAATTTGTCTTTGTCAGTGGCTAGTTTGACATTAGGGAGTAAAGTAGTCAAGCGCGTTAACCACTTTATTATCTTGAACCTCCCGTCAGCTTAAGAGCATTGGTATCTGGTGGCCTCTGAAAGGATTCACAAAGTCAATTCACGTTAATTACGGTGTGGTGGCATCAATTCATAAAGTCACTAACTTCTGTTATGAGCTGTGTTGGCAGATATAGAGTACTTGGTTGGAGTTCGCGCGACTATCGTAACTAATGGTTGGAAGCTCTGAGTGACATGGCTTTGAATCGATCACAGTGGTGTAGGTGTACACACTCTTTGTCCCCTCTTAAACTATGAGATTAAAGTCACTTTACATCTTTCTTTCTACCAGCTAATTCTTTCTCCCCATGTTATAACTTGTGGCCTGTGTGCCCTGTTGATGTATGACGTAACGATACCGCCAATTAGAGAGCAGTGAATTGTCGATCGGACCAATGATGCATAAAACCCGTGCGAGCAGTCTAGAGTACTTATTGGTCCTGCTTCCTGCCTAGCCCAGCCAGTTAAGTCCAGAACACAAATCTCAGCGATATGAATCATTTATTTCATACATACTCGGTTTATATGCCAACCAGACAGACCACATCGTACCATAAAATAGAAAATAACATTTGTACAAGATTCAGACAAAAGTGGCTGTGAATGTCGGAGGTAGTAATTAATAGACAGGGCATAATTCAAGAATGGCAAATCGTATAATAGTAGTTCATAGGTCAAAATAAAGCTCATAATAAGGGACATGAATATGTATAGTTTAGTTATTTAACAATTATACGATAAAAATATACGCATAGAATTGGTCCGTAAACTGATCCCAAAAGTTACCATTCATTATGCTTATCGGGCATAACATCCTATTTCATATCCTTATATGCAATGTTTTTTAACTATATTACTACCATTGAAGTAACTACTTCTATGAATTTGGTGTTCATCTTGTGCTAATAAGGTATAGCAATTTGGACCGACGCATATATGTACCCGATCCTACGTTTTAGATTACTGACTGACAGCAGTTCATCCCATATTAATCGATGTATGTGAAACATGGCCTGTGAAAATAGAGAACATACGTAGACTTCAGGTACGTGCTTGTAAGTGTTTTCAAAGAACTGCTTTCGTGTGGTGGAACACTAGCTAGTAGTCCTTAGGTTAGACCTACGGTACTAGGAAAACATGGCAAATAATTTGATGAGTCTGTGGGTCACCATCAGCTGGTATTTCCTGAACATGTATGGCATATATTCAACCACCACTTACCTTGATGCTTGGTTCTGACTAGTGTGCAATCAGATTAAAAGTAAACCACGAGATACTAAACTACGACATGATATCATTCTATGAAATCATTGAATATGAACTGTATTTGTAAGTGTTGAATACCAGATTGAGGTCCTAGCTATAGTCGTGATCGTCAGTCATAGATTTCTTCTTATATAACTAAAAATTGGCCTCACTGGGGCAGATGCATTCATTCTGAAATCCTCTTAAAAATTGAGCTTCATGATTTCTAGTACTATTTTTTCTGTTTCGTTCCTTTTCAAACCATATTCCCTAAACCTGATCTTGTCATTGATACTATTATTCCAAATCTTTTGGCACTCATTTTGTCAATTCCTCACTATTCTGATGTGGCACAGAAATTTGGACTGCTGTAAAAATGTCAGGTCTTGCGTTGATTGTGATTAATTTCTGTCTGATCAGTAGTTGTATGGTTTATAAGAACGTAGATATTTTACTTGAATTAATGTACTGGGGTTAACGTTTAATATCTAAATATTTGAGGTTACTGAACGATAAGGAGTCAGTTATTGAAGCCAGCAGTTTGCTACTGCTGAACGGAATCCAAGATATCACAAGTTAGTGACTTATGAAGCTACCGTAAGAAAGCTTTAAAAAGTATGTGATAACCGTTATGGGTGTCATTTTTAACCTTCCCTTTAATACTAGTTATTGGGTCGTGCAAGATAACCGTAATCTACGACTGAAAACAGTTGCAGTAACTCGTTTTTCAGTTCGTTTCTGCATCTTAAACTTAATATTATTCCGTATTTTCCACTTTTCAATTTCACTTTTATTTTTATTTTCCTACCGTTTTTATTAACATTGCTTCAAATCATTCCCTTTTCCTCTTTCTGTGCACACATTTATACACAGTAAAAGCTCATGTATCTATTCATTTCTATCTTTAAAGCGCTAAATGCTTCCTCACTTTTTATAACTCAAATTGTAAAGCTTCATTTGCTTATAATATAAACTTATGCAATAATCTTCTCGTTTGTATTACTTTTAGATCGCCAGCTCATCGTTGGATGCTGGAGCAAAAATATACGCAGGTCGTGTTGATGCTGTACATCAAGAAACGTATCAGGTTCTTACTGGACTTGGTCGCTCAGGCAATCCTCAAAATGAAGAGAATGATAGTAATGCCGATAATGTTGATGATGACGATAAGACTCATTCACATTCTAAACCAGAGCAAAAAAGAAAACTGCTTCACATCGAGATATTATCCATAAACAACTAAATAAGATTCGAATTAAAACACTAGCTGAAAAGATTGATGTAAGTTTTTGCATACACTTCGTACCTGCCTATCTTATTTTACCACTTTTGTCAAATAATGTATAAGCTTTCTGGTAGTGAATACCTAAAATCTCGAGTAAATATTTTCGTGGTTTAAGCTTTCGCAATGACGCTTAAATCACGTTATAAAAGAGAACACATAAGTGGGGTTTGAACTCCATTCCGCCTATTTCAGTTTTTTTCAGCCAGCTAGTATTATTGGCCCTCAAACTTAGAGTGTGGCTTATACCCACGCATATGGTGAGTGAGTTTATTTGGTTTAATTTGGAAAATACTTACCTTTTTACACAGTTAAAATTGTACGTAATTAATTGTATCTTCAGGTTGACCCTTTGTTTCAACATCAAACAGCTGCCTATGATGAGGGGGGTACTGCTGAACTAAGATTAAACCAGCTTTCCACTGCTAATGCTTCATGTGAATTGATTTTAGACTCATCAACTCCTGTTATGCTCCGTACGTTGACCACCACTCAACCGATAACTCCTATGAATGTTACAAATGTTACTGAATTTTTGTCTTCAATGCTTGCAAGATCACTAAATCAACTATCTATATGCTCTACGTTGCAAAGCTTTCGCTTTACCGATTGGGATCTAAACAAGAACAGTTTTTGATGTAAGTTTACATTATATGTTCTGTAGATCACTAGTTAACAATCAATAAATCGTAATCCATTTCGTTTGCAAATCATACTGATTAATCATTACATTCACTCAATTACATCTTGCTAATCACTCTGTTATTCAATTATATTTCCGGATGTTAGTATGTCAGGTTTTCAAGCCATAAACCTGATTGCTTCAAAGTGTTAGATGGCTCGTATCATATAACATTTCTCTAAGTATTATACTTGTATTATTTTTCTGTGTAGTATGCTTTTTTCGAGTCGTTTCATTAATCCTTTAAACATAACATATTTCATCACTTCACATGTTTTTGGGATTTCCTTTACAGGTCTCACTCTCAACATACTTTCACCAGGGTTGCTTTCCAAACCCCTGTTATATGTTGTTAATTCTTTCGTTATCCGACCCAAATACCCTTATTGTTTAGCATTCCGACGCTTTATCTCATTCGACTAACCACAAAAACAACACGGCTTGGTCAAGTACATAATTTTATCCCAAGTTAGATTAAATCCCATCAAGAAAAACGTTGGTATATTTATAATTATGCAAGAAGGTTCTAGAGTCTTCATTTATTGGATAGCGCTGACGCGCTTAGCATGTTCCATGCAGGATTGTGTTGGGGCACGCTGATTGGCCGCTTCTTAGCCGGTCAGTGCTGCTGGATACTTGGAGGAGACTCTAGAATATTCTTACGTAAAAATTATGAATATACTAACGTTTTTCTTATTATGGTTCCTACTTCCATTCAACCTTGTTTATTTGGAATATAATTAAGTTCCTGTTCAACAGTGTTCTGATTTGGAGACTTGTCGAGTGAAGCAGTATCCAAGAATACTAAGCATTAAGAGCATCTGGGTCGTAATAAGAGAAACTATAACAGTTGTAGACTTAGGATTATTATCTGACAACATGTACCCATATAAGGGTGATTTCTGAACACAGATGGAATCCGAATATTCACTTAGTAACCCTAACGTAACGACTAGATTTTCAAATGAGGTCTTTTACTGTCTGAGGAACAGAAGAAATACAATTTCAGTAGTGATGTAAAAGTGGGTAGCCAGTTATCCTAATGACCGAAATCTACCGACACCGTTCAGTGTAACATCAATAAATTGGACGAGACTAGCCAACTGAATGTGAGTAAAATCATATTATCAGAGCGGCGCTAATGGGTGAAAGTCCAATATACAAACGGAAATTTGTCAATATTTAAAGTGAAACTGGACAGTTGTCAGCGTTTTCACATAAGGAATCAAGAAATATAAAAGTTTATGATTTACATTTTCCGGATCAACTCAGGAATGTAAAAATGTTCTCTGTTACTACTTCTTATACTGTTGACATTTCAGTTTCATCCCAGTTTGTATATGAAATCTAAGGAGGTTGCATTTCACTACATCATACGATATATTTGTTACCTCTGGCTGAAAACCCAGATTTCAACCGGGACAAACATATTGCTAAAAATCAATAAAAACTAGACACAAAATGCGAATTAACTTCAGAGCTGTCTTGGTGGATAGTTTTCACAAAAGTGTCAGTATATCAAAGGATTTTTCACAAAAATATGTAGTTCAAGTGTTTAGTTACTGTTAAACTATTCGAATAAAATAAATATGCAATGAACGTAAGTACTTAAATTCTTAGAAATTAAAAAGAGACAATTTTGAATCTTTCCTAGTGATAATGTGTTTTAAAATTATCTCTTAGTCAAATAGCCAAATGAACTGGGATACAAATTCACAACCTATTAACTTGTTTAATCAAGACAATAATGATGATGGTGATGACAATGGATTCAATCCTCTTCCAGTTCAGGATGATAGTTTTTGTGACAATATTCATGAAGGTAACCTTTGTTTGTGTAGTTTACTGAAGGTAAAAATTACTTTGGTTATTTATCTAACAAAATAATCATTTAAATTCATCAGGTTGCATGAAAACACTTATTATTAGTATTACTTTCACAGTGTCATTTTAAACATATAATGGCTAAAGCTTATATAACATTATTCTTAAAATAAGTATCCTGATGTCGATTTGACATGTCGTGAGTTATAAGTTAGATGGTATGTTGATAATTTTTAAGGACAGGCTATAAATTCTCATGAAAGCACAATCCTGGTACCATCGTCTTTACTGTTGGTTACTGTTCAAGTAAAGCGGATCATGAAAAATACAAAAAAAATTGGTGACTGGATAGTTTTGTTCTTATCATAAATATATATTTGCCTTTCCTTCACCACCTGACATCTGCTCTAGTTCTGTTAAATGTTTGAATGCTTAAATAGAGCTTTTATTAAAATTAAAACATAGGATTGTGGAGATCGTTGAGCTTCATTGAAATCATGAACCGACCAGTGTTAGATCATTTTTGAAAACTTCGAAACACTGGACGGTCGTTTTGTCATCATGGATTGGTTTAATTCAGACATTAACACCATTGGGTGCCGGGTCAGTGGTCTAAAGTTTAAACGTTCGCACGCGAGGCCCGAGGTCTTAGGTTTGGGTCCCACGTGCGGGATAGCGGATGCGCACTCCTGAGGATTCCCATACTAAGGCGAAACGGCCATCCAGTGCCTCCAGGTTTTCAATGGTGATCTGAAATTGATCTGTTCGTGATCTTAATGAAACTAGCGATTTGATTATTAGTATGAATTGAATAATGGTTGTATTTAGCTGATATCTTAAGGTCCATTAATATTTGCTCACTGACTTGTGACATGGGCCGTTTTATTTTCATCTAGGGACAGTCTAATGATAAGATTTTACTATATGGAACCATTTTTTGTCTGATAGAATAATAAAACCTGATCACTATCAAAAAATTTCCTCAGTAAGTTCCTAAAAACTGTTCGACCTTCAGATTAAATAGGTCTTACACTATGTATTTTCTCTTCACTCTTCAAATAAAAATGTTTTCATTTTATGAAATCTAATTTAGCAATATTAGTATAAAACTGATAAGCTTCTGTTTCATGACACTGAATAAACTTGTATTGGTAATTAGTCTCTATCTAAAACAAACGTAGGGTGGTGATTCCAAACTAAACGATATATTAATGTGACTATGAAGAGGTATTATAATATAATATTGTCTTAGTCCCATGAAGTTATCTTCAATGTAAATTCTCACCAAGAACTAATTGACATATCACTGAAGTTGGTTTTATCAAGCAGAACTGGATATTACCACACCAGCCCTTCACAGGCCTATATAATTAGACTATGGACCATATTTATAGTAATAGTAATACTATTTAATTGTTAAGTCACATTTTTAGAATATTGTTCGTACCTGTGATTTAGTTAAAACAATTCAAAGCACAGCATTACATTTTATAAAAATATATCAAGTGATTCGAAAGGTTGTCAATACTTTTAAGTAAATATGATTTAACTGTCATTTCCATGTTTTTTTTCTCTACTACAGATATAAACTTGGACCCAGTGTGTGAACTGGGATGCAAGTTGAGGTGAATGGTTCATCAGCAGAAGCTGTAAATAATAATATTGGATCTGATAATCTGTTGGCTAATATTCCCGTTACCGAAAAGTAATATATATGCATCACTTGCTAGCTGTTAATAAAATATAATAGGTCCATTTCTGTTACATCACAGTATTTTCTAAAAGTTTATTAATTCTAAGCAGAATTGAATATAAAATTATATATTATATATCTCAGCGACTAAAATTTATTTATTTCAACGGTTCGCTCTACAGTGTATTGCTAGTTTCTCAGAATCAATCGAAAATAGATTTTAAGATTTCGCAGACAAACTCTCTACATAAAAAGTTCAGTTATTTTATAGATGTTCAATTTAGTTGAAATATCTTTAGATTGTCGCATTGAATCATATGTATCAAGTTCTTAGCCAAGTTTCATAATTATATTTGGCCTTAAGCTATGATCAGGATCAAACTGGTCAATCAAGTATATAGGAGTTAACTGAACTTGTCAAACTATGTGCCGATTGACAAAAAACCAAATAAGTGTATTCATGTTTGAATTCTGTTAATCAAAACAGTGATGAGTAAGTTATCCAACCTTAGCAGTTAAGTAAGCAATTGAATGTATGTTGTTGATGTTTATAATCCTTTGTGTGTTAGTGAATGTGTCGGAGTAGCAGATAATTGTTTTTTCATTTGTTATTCAGTACTTCACTTGTCAGCGCTAAGTTTACTCCTACTTACTTACACCTGTTACTCCCAGTGGAGCATAGGTCGTCGACCAGCATTCTCCAAACCACTCTGTCCTGGGCCTTCCTTTCTAGTTCTCAGTCAGTCAGTCAGCTACAACGTAGGACCAGGCACATGTATGCATCGGCCCAGGTTGCCATACCTCATTAGCACAGCAAGATGAACACTGGATTCATAGGAGTGGTTAGGTCAAAGGTGGTAATATATAGGAGAAAGATTGCAATAAGGATATAGTATAGGAAGAAAGAATTAGTTCGTAGAAAGAAAGATGTGAAGTGATCTTAATCTCTTAGTTTAAGAGAAGACAGAGAGTGTATACACCGACGCCATTGTGATCGATTCTGAGCCATGTCACCAAGGGTCTCCAACCATTGGTTACGAAAGTCACGCGGACCCCAACCAAGTAGTCTGCATCTACCAACATGGCTCAGACTAGAAGTTAGTGACTTCAGGCACTGATGCCACGTTTTGGTTTGGCCGCCCCTAACTTTCTTCCAACCATCCCCTACACCGGTTAGCATTGCACGTCGCGGTAATCGGTGTTCAGGCATACGTAATACGTGGCCCAACCATCTCAGTCGATGAAGATTCATAACCTCATCAACTGATTTACCATCATTCCCTAATACCCTGCGTCTAACCTCACTATTACTTACCCGGTGATCCCAGCAGATGCCAGCAATATTTCTAAGGCATCTGTGGTCAAATACTAGTAGCTTACGGGTGTCTTCTACTCTTAAGGGCCATGTTTCGCTGCCGTAAATTAAAACAGAACGGACAGCCGCGCAGTATACTCGTCCTTTTATTGATAGACGGATATCTCGCCTCCGCCAAAGGTGACGTAAGTTGGCAAAAGCCAAACGAGCTTTACGAATCCGTGCTGAGATTTCGTCAGACACCAACCCATTAGGGCTGATCAGACTTCCAAGATAAGTGAAGTTGTCAACACGTTCGACTACTTCACTCCCTATCCTTAGTTCAGGTGTTGACGCAGACCAGTCCTGAAGCAACAACTTGCATTTAGAGGGAGAGAAGCGCATCCCAAACATTCTGGCATTGTTGCTTAGTGCTACCAGAAGACTCTGCATTTTGTCAGCGTCTTCACCAAACAGGACTATGTCATCTGCATATTCTAAGTCGATAAGTGGACCTCCTGGAAGGAGATCAATACCCGAGAATTCAGTCGACGAGAGTGTTATTTCCATCAATAGGTCTATGATGAAGTTAAACAAAAATGGAGAAAGTGGGCAGCCTTGACGGACACCACTTGAGGTTGCAAAAGTAGATGACAGTTCGCCATAAGCCCTGACTCGACTAGTAGTGTTCGAGTAAAGAGCCTTCACAAGGTTTATGTACTTCTGAGGTACGCCTTTCAATGACAGACACTGCCACAGAGTCTCGCGGTCTACAGAGTCAAATGCTGCTTTTAAGTCAAGAAAGACCACCATCGTCGGACGCCGATAGGTATGCCTGTGTTCTAGAACCTGACGAATGGTGAATATGTGGTCGATGCAGCCACGACCAGGTCTAAAGCCAGCTTGGTTCTCTCGTGTTTGTAGTTCACGAGTCTTAGTTAGGCGTTTGATAATTATCGAGGCCAGTATTTTAGATACTATGTTTGTTAAACTAATCCCTCTGTGGTTGTCACAGGATGATTTTGACCCTTTCTTATATATTGGGACGATAAGTGATTGCGACCAGTCAGATGGGATAACGTCTAACTCCCAGATCTTAGCTAAAATATTAGTCAACCTAATCGCTAAAATTGGACCACCATCCTTAAAGACTTCTGGAGCCAATCCATCTGGACCAGCTGCCCTTCCTCGTTTCAGATTAACTATAGCCTTCTCAACTTCAGCAAGAGTTGGGGGACCTACTTCAATGTTCCATTCACTTTGTCTGGGAATGGAGGGTAGTTGTAGAGTAGCTGAAGGCCAGCTGAACTGTTCTCTAAAATGTTCCGCCCATCGTTCTAAACGTCTGGACTGGGAGCAGATGAGAGTATCATCTTTTTCCGAAATAATCTCACTTACACTTGACTTATTAATTCCAGTTTCTTTTATTAGTCTGTAAAGCTGTCTTGTGTTCCCTATAGTCGCCGCCTTTTCCATCTCTTTTGCTTTCGTTACCCACCACTGCTCACGGTCGTTCCTTAGACTTTTTCTTAACCTAGATCTGATTTGTTTACGCTCTTCATCATGTTCAGAACCTGATGGGACGAGTTTGCGAGAATCCATCAGTGTGACAGACCTTGAAGAAATCCACTGGTTCCTTGTAACTCTGTGGTTTAAGTCACTAATAGATGTCACTGCTGTTTCCACAGCTGCTTGTATGTCCTTCCAAGCAACATCTGGGTCAGCCTCGTCTTCACAACTACCTAAGTGTGACCTCAGTTGTTCCTGGAACCTACTTTTGGTTTTCTCGTTACTCAACTCAGTTCTAATGGGTCTTTTTAATGTGGCTTTTTTGCGTCCAGTGAGGCGCAAGCAGATGCGTGCCCGTATTAGGGCATGGTCGGAGTCCAAGCAGGTACTCCAGAATGAGCGACAATCTTCTACCGACCCTCTCCAACGATGACTGATGGCAATATGGTCTATTTGAGTCCATCGTTGGTTTGGTGTAGGGGGTCGCCATGTTAGACGATGTCTCTCCTTATGCTTAAAATTTGTGTTTGCTAAAAATAAACGATTGTCTGAGCATAGCTGCAGCAGACGATCACCATTATCTGTTCGCTGTGTCGGAATACTAAAATATCCACCTAAATGCCTTTCTGTTTGGTTTAAACTGCCTATCTGAGCATTAAAATCACCTGCTACGAGTACTATGTCTGAGCGTTTAGCTTTCTGAAGAAGTTCGGATAGCTTTCTGTAAAATTCATCTTTCACTTCATCTGAGCTGCAGTCAGTGGGAGCGTAGGCAGAAACGACAAAAAGGCAACGACGTGTGTCCCTATCCTTCCGAGTTCTTACGTAGCCGTTCAGCCGAACAGCACATAGACGACTGTTGACGGGGATCCACTCTAGCAGTGCTTGTTCGGCCCTCATGCTTAGTGCTATGCCTACACCTGCCAGTCCACGAGAACTTGCCATCGGGTCACCAGACACACGAAGGGTGTATCTCGTTGGCTCTCCGTCTTGCCGAGGTGAGGTCAAGTGAATGACCACACTGGAATCCTGTATGCGTGTTTCGGAGACACAGCATACATCAATGGAAAGAGACTCTAGGGTTTTAGCCAAGGAAGCCTGCTGACCGATTTGACATAGGGTGCGTACGTTGAAGGCTCCAATGTGTAGTTTGGAGCGAGGTTTCAGTAGACCTGGGACAGTGTTTTGCGCACTAGAATCGTTGGCTACGGTGACACTTGAGGTGGAAGCCGAGAGAGGAAATACAGAGTTGAAAGTCGATGTAGGAGGAATAATAGGAATTGAAGAAGGAGGTTGATTATGAATACAGTGGACTTGAGTGCTGTTAGAAGTATGAGGGCGGTTATCACTTCCCGGTTGCCCACACCGTGGAAGGGTTGTTCTGGAGGTACCTGAAAAGGAAATTGGATTAAAGGTGGTCTTAGTGAACTGAGAGCGTGACCGCAGTGCCCAAGGGACAACTGCTTGAGGTCGGTCACACACGACCTTGTTATGGGTAATTTTTGTGTTAGCTCCGTACTTATTGAGACCTTACCGCCGGAGACGGATATCCGTGGGATAAGGCGAGGTGTGCATTTTTAGGGTCGACCTTTTCTAACCCCACCCCTCCTTGTGGGAAGGCAGCATCGCTGTCATGCTGGTTGTCTGAAGGAAACACCTTACTGCTGTCACACCTCTGTACAGTCAGCAGTACGACTTCGCCTTCGGACCTTGGGTTTGTTGCTTTTAGTCTTACCGCTCTTCAACCGACCTGTCTGACATGGTAGGACCTTGAGGAACGGTTGTTCCAGCCAGTATAGCTCGGTTGCTTCATCACGATAGGCAAGCCCGACCACCACGTCAAGGTAGCAACAACGGTCGGGCCTTTCTAGTTCTATCCAATTGTTGTTCATTCTTCTCATGTCTATTTCTCGGCATAATTTATTCTTTGGTCTTTCTCTCCTTTGGCCTTGCGGATTACATGTGAGGGCTTGCCTTGCGGCGCAGTTGAGTGCTTTCTTCAATGTATGTCCTATCCACTTCCAGCACTTCTTCCTGATTTCCTCCCCTGGAATCAGGTTTGTTCTCTCTCACAGTAGGCTGTTGCTGATAGTTTACTCTATCGCCCATATAATGACCTCCTTATTCGTCAGTCTTTCCTTCTAAGACACAAAACACTTTTAGACGGTTTCAAATCCTTGGAATTTAGTTCAATGTCCAATTTCTGTTGAATACAATGGTCGGACTGGTGTTTCATCTTAGTTGTCGTTAATAATGAACTAAGAGAACCATTCATTTGTAAGTGCACTTTTATGCCTAAAATAGAATCCTTCAACTCCCTCTAAATATTTTTCAGCAGTTATCTGAAAAAACTACGTCATATGGTAATACAAAATGAAGGCTCACTGCGTATCACGTTCAACTAATTGATCCAATTATCAAAATCTTTTATCTTAAATAACTTCAATTCAAAGAAATGAAAATATGAATTGATTACTAAAGCTTTCACTATAAAATTTTCCACTTCTGTATTTCGATAGTTACGAGTCGTACTCAAAGTACCGCACTCATTGGAACCTTAATTGTCTTAAATTAGCGCACAGTGTTTATCATGAGTCCTTATGTAAATATTTACCTCTTCCGAGTAACAACAATGAATATCATTTTCACCGTAATCTCTTTATCTTTATATATTTCAACTCACAAAGGTCCGAGTTAGAGAATTAATTGATTAGTTAAAGCCCATATGGTTTAAATCCACTGTCATCTTTAAATTATGTTTTGCTATAGTTTATGTAGAATTTTTCGAAATTAACTTATCAAATTCAAAACAATTTACCACTATCGAAATTATACCTTCTGACCAATAACCTTTTCCAATTTACAGAATTTCCTGTTTCATTTGTTATTTATATTCACCATTACAATGGATGATGAGAATTCTCATAATTTCAGTCTTTCTTTGCAACAGTTAAAAAACAACTACCCAATTCAGCTGAATTATTCATACTAGGGCATACTTGCAACTCTATGTGGATCAATGTATTAAAATAACTAAGACCATTTTGGTTTCAATCATTAAGTCGATCCACTCACTTCTGTTTGAACATCTTGATATATTATCAATAGTATTAAGGGTGGCAAAGACTGAGATGTTTTTAATGTACATATGTACTTATTTCTATTATTCTCAAACAGAAATAATTCTGTTCTTTATCAATTATTTAGTACTACCGCTACTAATACTAATACTACTACTACTACAGCAGATGGTGAATTATTTGTATCCTGTTTAAAAAATATGCTGGATAAACAGTATGAACATTTTGGAAAATTAAATGATCATCTGTTGGGTATGTGGGCAGGACCTGAACATTGGCGTAAAAAAGCTAAAAGACCGAAGTTGGATGGTACAGTTAAATTAAATGAAGGTTTGTTTTGCTCATTTTATTATTTTCACTTTATAGGCATATATATGACTATTGATTTTTATAAAATAAAAACCGTGACATGACATTGATCACCACCCAGTGATCAGTCAATTGTGATTACATCTCAGTCCTACAGGAGGTCCGTCGCGACCCGGATAGCTCAGTGGTAACGTCTCTGACTGTGAAGCTAGGTGACACGGATCGAATCCGTCAGGGAGTACCAGTTCCTTCAAGATTACAGGTACACCTTGCTGACGAGTGCCAAGTAGCACGGAATCCGGCTCCAGGGTTTCCTGTTGACTACCTCCAACCACCAACTTACGTCCTTGTTACCACGTTATGATTTCGACTTACACCTACTAATACAGTTACTGTATACGCTAACGGTCGATATTTGACGCAAAATTAACTTATTCCAAGATCACGAATCAGGGTACTATAAAAACCGGGCTTCAACATCTCACATGATTACGCAACACACTAAATGATAAATCTCATTGAGTACTTAACTATATCATTTGTAATACGAAATTGATTAATAAATTTAAATTTAACTAACTGAAGGTCAAAGATATCTTAACAAAACTCAAATGAAAACCTAAATGTAGGATACTTCAATAAAAATACTATTAACTAACTGTTTAAGAAATAAATATTGGAAACATACAACCTGGTCCTCCCAAAAATCTTTTGTCATTATTCAAAATTTCCGTGATTCGTGCTAGCGCCCAAGATCTAGATGCCGAGTGTGGTGTTTAACGTTCAATGTGTTAGTACTCTACTAGCTTGCATTTTTTCCTTCTCAATACTAACCTAAGCGTTGTATATATACACATAGGAACCTGAGATCAGTGATTTTTGTGTGTATATGGTGTTGTAAACTTCAGTGGGTGCAGACTACCTGGTTGGGGTCGGCGTGATTATTGTAACCATTTGTTAGAGATTTTAAATGATATGGCTCAAAATCGTTTGCAACGGCGCACGCACATTCAATCTTTGTTTTCCCGCAAATTCTGAGATTCTAATTTCCTCACAATTTGTTCGTTTTTATTTTACTAATTTATATCTTCCTGAATCGTATCTTCGATGCCTAATCTTTCCTATTACCACTGATTCTGTTACTACCTCTATTATTCTGAGATTCGGCTTGACAATTCCATCTTTCTGTACGAATGGGGTGTGGCAATTTGAACCCATGTACATACGTACCAGGTTCTACTTCGTGACTGACTGAATCCGTGTTAATCTAGTTTTTCCCGTCATCTATGTCAATTGTTTCACATAATATCATACTTTAATGTTACACGTTAATACACATTAGTGGTTGTAAGGACTTGATAAGAAACCACAAAATATAATGAATTTATATCGTTCTGCTTCAGTTGTGTTATGGCTTTATTTAATCAATTTATTACACGTAGAAATTTGGTACAGCGGCATACCAAAGAAATGTAGTACAATTTTAAATAATAATGCTATGAAGGAGATGAAACGGTCACATAATCAATAAAGAAATGAACAAAATTAGTATCTAATAGCAGAAAAATATTAATTAGAAAGGAATTTAACCAAGATAGATTCCTTTCAATGTACGCGTTTTAAAACTATTGACCAGTTAGCCGTCGTTAAGTTACCAATTAACATGGAAGTTTCATTTTCTTTCATTGTCCGTAATCAATCATATTATATGATTAGATTTCTTGTTCTACTAATAGAAACTTAGCTGCCAAAGCTTAATAACTGGTCATTCCACAATGGTTTCTGTAAATAGATCTGAGAGCTCTATCAGGTTTTCTCGCCGTTTCAACATCGAGAAAGTGAATATTTTGCTTGGTTTCGGAAAAATTAAAAGAAGTTATTTCTACTTCGCTTGTTACTCGTCTATTCTGTTTTCCCTTTCATTTTAATTTGTATTTGTACTCTTTTCTAAACATCTTTATCTTAATGTACATCGAACAACAGTAGAAATAGTTTTTGTATCATTGGCAGTTCAATTTTTATTCTAAGAAGTTCAATTTTTGTAGCGACATTTTGAATTTCATGTGTGTTCTAACAAATTTCTTTTTTCTTGATATCATTTTGTTTAAATGGAGTCGACCAGTGTTGTTTAATGTATAGTTAACTACTCTAAAAAATTGATGCCTTAACAATTAAGTGTTTTAATGTCGCTTGTCGAATATTTTGATTTTATAATATTTTACTCAATTTAATGGTAATTTTTCGGTCAATCCATTTCATATTTATTTCAGACAACCCTGAGAAAAATTTTGAACATGGACTAGGTGAAAGTGAAACGGGGATTGTTGACAAGGTAATAAACAGTCGAAAGATGACCAAGTCGAAAAGAGATAAAGCGCAAAGAATCTCTTATGCTGAAACGATTAAACCGAGCGAGAATCGAACAAGGTAAGTTTGTTATATGATTCATGTTTTGTTATCTAGTCGACTAAAAATATACTTGTTGCATAGCACAGTTCGTAACAAGGTCGTATTCTTATAATTCAATGTAGAATATAAATATTTTAACTTTGTATAAATTAAAATGCACAATTATTTTGGTATATTTGTTCTTAAAGATTGTTCGTAAATTGTATTTCTAAAAACAATATTGAAATCTGTCACTAAAATGACTTGTAGTTATCTTTTAGCTGATTCCTTTTTTCACAATTATTAATGTTAATATAACCACTACCAAATACAGGTTTATTACTCTGGCTCTCTTTATTGACATTGTCTAAGAATTAGCTATTCTATTCGAGTTCATAAAACAAAAACCGGTCGCGCAAGGTTCTAACCGAAAACCTGAGTGTTGTGATCACTAAATTGCCGTTCCACCGATTTCTTTTCACATTTCCATCATGTTACAATTTTCACCACTAGAAAGTACATTTTGTTCAGTTTGGGGTTAACGTTGACTACGTAATCTTTACTGGGTCTCTGATGTTTTAAGATCGCATATGTGAGTTTATAGTCTCCGATTTTTCAAATGCTAGACAAATATTTAGAAATGTAAATGACCGTTATGATCAATCTGATAACCCTACGATTAAAATAATATCCAATAAATTGTTCATTTGCAACGACATCATACAAAACATTTTTGCTTCTAAAGTGACCCATAGCTATCCACCATATTTGTACTACTATAGTAAGTTTAAGATTTCACATTTACCGACATTCAGTATGTAGATCAAAAAGGCTTCGGATTTTAGAAGTATCCGCTTCTACCTCTAATTTTATAGTTATAGAAATCAAAACCATCACTAAAAGAGTACTATCTGCTATTGTCTATGATTAAGCGGAGTTGTCATAATCTATTATTTTTCTTCATCATCTTCATGTAGTTGTCCGCTCGAAAAGAGCTGAACCATGTCTTCATCACTTGTTTCCAAATTTTATTCACTTCAATTCTTACATCAATTTACATTTACCACCAATAAACAGCTGAATACAAATTGTAGTAAACTGTGATGTGTCTCAGAGAACAGTTGATCCATATAGACATCTTTTTTAAGATAATTATTGAGCTATATTAGAGTTTACCTATGAGTAATTTACTGATACCAATAATCAATTTTCACTCTACAAAATCACAATTTCAAGGCCCACTAAACGTTACTATACCTCAGCCATTTTAACAGCTGAATAGTGACACCTTTATTGTTAGCCTACAAAAATGTGACTGAAGTGTCTTTAATTTCATAATACTTTACAGATACTGGGTTTATAACTAGTCAGCATTAACGTCTGAATATTTGGTGCATAGTGAAATCAACAAATGCGTCACACGATATTTATATTCCCAATTTTATTTATCCAAAATGTTATGCCACTCTATCTTGACTTGTTTGTTACTTTTTTATCTCTTTCAATTTTAATGCTTCTTTGACTGTTTTGGGTGAAGTTTGATTCCTTAAATCATTGTGGTGTTACTCCGTGGTTTTAGTCGTTCTATCTATGTAATATTCTAAAAATGATATAGTTTTTTATTCTAACGAAACAAAAATATGAATAATATGGTAGAATTAAGTTGAATTACTCGATATAGAGGACTAAGTTGTCTGACTTTACTATATTACACAAACTTTTCTTAATTAGTTCTCTGTCAGTAAGAACATTGATAATTCATACATTATGATAGTAAATAAACCATGCTTAATTTTTCTTCCAGCTATCAACTGTAAAGTAGTTTGCTTGATTACAGTGAATATCTCACATTAATATTTTATCGGGTCTTTTTCACCATTATCTGCATGACATACAAATGTAGAAATTTCATTTCATTTCACTCACGTTCTTACTCGTCTGTTTCTTTTAATTTTTAATTTTAACCATTTTAATCTTTTCCATTATATATATATATATTAGGAGTGGTAGATTGTCCAGACGAGATTGGCTCAAAAATGTCCTATCATCTGGTGTAGAAAACAGTGCTGCATCCAACTCTACGATATTTAAGGAAACCTACAGGCAGAAAGCCAATCGTCAAATGAACATGCTCCCTTCAGAATGGTCTGATTCTCGGCAAACTTTATATCAACTTGTTAATCGAGATGTAATTCTGCGTCCGAATATTCTCCCTGATGGTAGAAATCTCACAAACTGTAATAACATTACAGTAAGTATTTATTGTTTCAGTCATGTATCATGAATTAGGTGTATCGATTATTAATCATCCGTTTCTTATTATGAGATTCTATATATTAGATCTGGGTATCCCTCCTACTTGTATTACTTGTATTTTGAATCGACGACTTACTGTCACTAAGCCTTTACACCAACATTACATTACTCATCTCGGAAATTCAAACAATCCATGCATTTTATTTTGTGCTGCTGTTTAGTACTATCAATCTGCAAATTGTTGTTACGACTAATGATCTCACACGCATTCAAACTTGTGTTTTTTTAGCGAAAGTATGTGATGTATATAATAATTATAATAGTTCACCCATTCACCAGTTACGTGACTATGAGCCACAATGTAAGTTTGGGGGCTGATGATACTCCTCGATTGCCCAGACCTAAGTAGCTAGAGCGGCGTTGTGAGCTTCGATTAAAAAGCTAGAAGTCAAACGCCTTAGTCACTAAGTCACTGCTGCACTAAATGTTAAAGTGGTTGGAATTAGTCGAGAGGAAACCCTGCTTGATCTAGGTATCGTGCTACTTGGTACTCATCAACAAGGTGTACCACCAAATTTGGGGGATTTTTGCTCCCTAGCGTATTCGACCCCACACCACCGATTTTTACAAATCTGAGACATTACCACTGAGCTATTCGGGGCGAACTATTTGCTGTGCATGTCAATAGATTTATCGTTTTTCCTTATTTCTAATTGTCAGAGTGAGAACGCAGACTATATGGTTGGAACTAATGAATTATGTGCAGTTCTAACTGTTGGTAGCTCAGAACGACCTGTTGACAATGAGTATGAAGATGCTGATGGCGGACTCGACCAGTTGAGGAACCATCAAGATGACGACGACGATGATGACGCAATAATCCCATTCGAATGTGCCTTTACACAAGTAAGTCGATCAAAGAAATGCTGTTCAATATTTGTTTTATTGGACTCAAAACAATCTGGTATTCCATTAATACTAAGTGCGTAATAGAGAAGCAAGAATAAGGTGTGTTGGTGAAACCAAGCGATCCATTCGTCCCTGAGCAGAGTCTGAAAAAACCATCGTGCATTTGTTTGATCTTTTTCCCAAATGCTTAGTTATGGTCACAAATACACATAAAATGTTTACTTCGTCAACGGATTTGTTTGTTTCTATATGCTAACAAGCGTCTAAAATGTTTCTGATTGAATGTATCAACTACAGGTGATTTTTGGTAACCATCATATATATATATATATATATATATATATATATATATATATATATATATATATATATATATATATATATATATATCAGTAAGGTATGTTGAAATTGTTGAGTTTCATTGAGATCATGAACTGATCAATGTTAGACCACCATTGAAAACCTTATGGGACTCCTTGTGAGTGCACACCCATGGTTCCACACGTGGGACTCAGACCTCTGATCTTGCGCACAAACGCTTAGTTTCTAGACCTCATGTTCTTATTAAAAAATAGGTATATTGTTTGTTAGCCAATATGTAATATGTAGACGTAATTTAGTGACTATAGTTTAGTATATAGTATCTGCATATATGTGGTTCTACCGCAGTTTCCGTCTTTGTATAGCATTTGTTGCGCTTCGTCACTTTGCTTTCTGGGATTATCAACTACGGTAGTCTGTTTTGTTGTATCGTTCTCACTATTAGTTATAAGTTGTCGGCTATTATCGTTTTTTCTATTCAATGTGCATACTAAATATTTACCAGAAGTTGGTCAAACTATTCTTGTAAACTTTTTGCTTTTCACACTACTTAATACCTGGAAAGTAAAATTATGCTCTTTCCTCCATGATAGTTTTGGTGGCTTTCAAGACTAATCTCTTAATTTTTCCTAAGTCTGAATAGTTACAATCATTTCCGAAGGATAATACTTTATCATTTGTGTACCCATTTATTCCGGTTGTGCAGTAATTATTGATTCTTAAGGCTAATCGCCATATTAATTTCCAATACATTCTGTGTTCCATTCGCTTTCTCCTATTAATTAAAATACATTCAACTTTATACCTGAATAAAGCAAAATTGTCAAGCTGAAAATATTTCGACTTGTAGATATATGATAAAATCTGAATAATCTCAATCCTATGAGAAATAACGTACTTCAATAATTGATCGTTTCTTATCTCATTTTTTTTTTAGAACGCTGGGTATAATGATGGTGAATTGACTGATATAGAATTAATTTCACAACCAAATAAAGTGGCTCGCATTGAAATTGGTTACGCTCGAACTGCGAAAATGATTAACGTTCAACGGTTAAAATGTGCTATGTGGGGATTCCTCGAACATACAGTTCCTCACGTTGGTTTAAATATTCCATCTCAGTCACCATTATCTGTTGCTTCTACAGCCTCAGCTCCTGATACTAATAGTTTAGTGGACGATCCAACATCACTCAATGTAAACGAAAACCAAAAACAATACCCGATGAACGAGGACGTTATTGAGTCAGACAGTGGAAGAACATCATGTCTACCTAAAGTTCACGGTGCTCGAGGTTTCTCAGAAGTTATTGACAACTTATCAGGTCGTATAAGTTGGCAAATGGCTAAAGAACTTAGTATATCAATTGCTTTAAATTGTCTTTTGCATTTGTCTAATGAGAAAGTGAGTTTTTAAAACGACATTTCCTTGTTTGTTCCTTATCATTGACATTTATAACTCCTTTACCAGGCACAGATTAACATACCCATATCTAGGGTTTCAATTATTTCCGTGATGCGTAATGATAATGATGATACCGATATTGCATAACTGGCTAAACTGAAATACGTTGAGTAACATCCCCTACACTAGTTAGCATGCGCGTCGTGGTAATCGGTGTTCATGTATACATAACCCAACCATCTCAGTCGATGAAGATTCACAACCTCATCAACTGACTTACCATCACTCCCTAATACCCTGCGTCTAGCTTCACTATTACTTACCCGGTGATCCCCACAGATGCGAGCAATATTTCTAAGGCATCTGTGGTCAAATACTAGTAACTTACGAGTATCCTCTACTCTTAATGGTCACGTTTCGCAGCCGTAAAGTAGAATAGAACGAACTGCCGCGCAGTATACTCCTCCCTTAATTGATAGACGGATATCTTGCCCACGCCATAGGTGACGTATGTTGGCAAAAGCCAAGCGAGCTTTTCTAATCCGTGCTGAGATTTCGTCAGACACCAACCCATTAGGGCTGATCAGACTTCCAAGATATGTGAAGTTGTCAACGCGTTCGACTACTTCACTCCCTATCTTTAGTTTAGGTGTTGACGCAGACCAGTCCTGCAGCAACAACTTGCATTTAGAGGGAGAGAAGCGCATTCCAAACATTCTGGCATTGTTGCTTAGTGCTACCAAAAGACTCTGCATTTTGTCAGCGTCTTCACCAAACAGGACTATGTCATCTGCGTATTCTAAGTCGATAAGTGGACCTCCTGGATGGAGGTCAATACCCGAGAACTCAGTCGACGAGAATGTTATTTCCATCAATAAGTCTATGATGAAGTTAAACAAAAATGGAGAAAGTGGACAGCCTTGATGGAAACAAGTTGAAGTCGCAAAATCAGATGACAGTTGACCATAAGCCCTGACTCGACTAGTAGTGTTCGAGTAAAGAGCCTTCACAAGGTTTATGTACTTTTGTGGTACGCCTTTCAATGGCAGACACTGCCACAGAATCTCGCGGTCTACCGAGTCAAATGCTGCTTTTAAATCCAGAAAGACCACCATTGTCGGACGCCGATAAGTATGCCTATGTTCTAGAACCTGACAAATGGTGAATATGTGGTCGATGCAGCCACGACCAGGTCTGAAGCCAGCTTGGTTCTCTCGTTTTTGCAGTTCACGAGTCTTAGGTGTCCGATAATTATCGAGGCTAGTATTTTAGATACTATATTAGTTAAACTAATCCCTCTGTGGTTGTCACAGAATGATTTTGACCCTTTCTTATATATTGGGACGATAAATGATTGTGACCAGTCAGATGGAATAACGTCTAATTCCCAGATCTTAGCTAAAATATTAGGCAACCTGATCTCTGAAATTGGACCACCATCCTTAAAATCATCTGGACCAGCTGCCCTTCCTCGTTTCAGCTTAACTATAGCCTTTTGAACTTCAGCTAGATTTGGGGGACGTACGATGTCTCTCCTTATGCTTAAGATTTGTGTTTGCTAAAAATAAACGATTGTCTGAACACCATTGCAACAGACGATCACTATTATCTGTTCGCTGTGCCGGTATACTAAAATACACACCTAAATGTCTTTCTTTTTAGTTTAAGCTACCTATCTGGGCATTAAAGTCACCTGCTACGAGTACTATATCTGAACGTTTAGCTGTCTGAAGAAGTTCGGAAAGCTTTCTGTAAAATTCATCTTTCACTTCATCAGTGTTGCAGTCAGTGAAAGCGTAGCTAGAAACAACGTAAAGGAAACGACATGTGTCCCTATCCTTTCAAATTCTTACGGAGCCGTTTGGCCGAACAGCACATAAACGACTGTTAACGGGGATGCACTCTAATAGTGCTTGCTCCGCCCTCATGCAGCACCGCTGTCATGCTGGTTGTCTGAAGGAAACGTCTCACTGCTGTCACACCTTTGTACAGTGAGCAGTACGAATTCGCCTTCGGATCTCAGATTTGTTGCTTTTATTCTTAGTGCTCTTCAACCGACCTGTGTGAGATGGTAGGAACTTGAGGAACAATTGTTCCAGCCAGTATAACCTGATTGGTTCATTACGATAGGCAAGTCCGACCACCACGTCAAGGTAGCAACAACGGTCGAGATCATATAAATGGAATAATAACGGTTAAAAATAAAATACTGAAACATCAGTTGTCCTGTTTTCCAAAGCTTTTTTATACGCTGTAATACAACGTCTTAATCATAATTCCTACCACCAATGACAAATTTATTCCTTCTTAATATTAACACGAATCTTCCCATTGTTTTCTTGATGTTTATTGAGTGTCAGTAATTTTGTTCTTGGTAAAATTTAGTGGTTACGGTGTGCAAAAGCATTTACAAATTTCAGAAGGAACTTTTTAAAGTTTATTTCATTCATTCCATATTTTAATAGTTATTTTTCTTTTTTCTAGCAATTATATCTAGAAAATGTGGACAGTTTTTCAGATATATACATCTCTCAAGGTTTGCCTTCATTTGAATTGAAACATCTTGAGACTTACACTAATATATGTGATAATAACGCTATTCATCATGGCGATATAATATCTGGTAATAAACCAAAGTTGAACAATCAAAAACGTAATAAAACTCGACATATACGTCCGTCTACACTGGATTCATGGCTTATCGAAAATGATTAAGGATCGTTGGTTAATAATTTGTTAAATTATGCAAACAATAATATTGTATAAAGATGAATATATTTTGTATTCTTTCAAATTAGATCAAAGATGTATTATATGTTTTGAGGTTTTCATTTTTTGTGTGTAGTAATTATATCTATATCTATATCTATCTATCTATCTATATATATATATATATATATATATATATATATATATATATATATATATATATATATATATTCCTTGTATATATAAGATATTTTCCCCGTAAATTTGTCTATATTCTTATGTAATATTCAATTACATACCATTTCATTATCATTAAAACATCTTGATGACTAACTTTGTCATTTGAAAGTTCCCGATTTTACACCTTGTTGTTATGATAATCTAAACTTTTTTGTTCGTCTTTCTTCTTCATAACTCATATGGTCATTTTTTTGTGTACACATACCCCAATACAACCGTACTTTATACTGCCTATTGATTAATGACATTAACTCTACTTAATCCTATTCCGATTCATACTATACTTAGTCTTATGTCTGGATTCCTACTGTGTAATATTATACGTCATTATGTTATCTTTGTTATATTATTTGTCTTCGAATTACATATGTTATTATACGTATATGTGCTTGTTTAAGTTAAATGTTATTCTGTACACAGACAATCCTTTTCATTGTTACTTTTCATCTGTTCAAATGGATTGGCAGTGTTCCAAATTTCTTTTATAATTTACCTTCTATTTTTTTAATAAAATATACTTTATTTTATTTCTTTATTGTTGAAATGAAAGTGCTATTCTATTTCTTAAATTTAGTAATTGTGTTTATTTTAATTTGAAGGTTACTTAAATACTTGTTTGTTCATTTGTTTGTTTGCGTTCGCCGATTGTTTGAAATAATACAACTTGTACATTTTATTGTCATATTAAGGAGGTACTTTGTATGTAATCAACACGTTGCATAATAGTTTTAGGAAATTCCGCTTCATTGCATAAATGTAATCATCATGGATAGTTTAATTAGTAACTGGATATATAGGAATTTAATCGGTGTTATCATATTCAGGTCTTGAAAAGAGAATTACAAGTCCAATGTCGCTTTAGCTACTCAGTTACATGTACCACCGTGAACATTTAGTCATTCAAAAACAGTACTAGTCCGTAACATGATAGCTTACAAAGCGGTTTTTTGGACATCTGTTACTGTTAAAATATTCATCATTTCCTAATAAGTATTAATTCTTTGACTGGTATATGACTAATCATTTCGATCGTCAATTATAATTATTGTTTTTGATCCGAACAAGGTAACGAATTCAGATACTAGTTTTGTTCGGCATAAGGGTTTCATTACTCTGCCGAAAATCTCTAATAATCAGTGGAATATCTGTAATATTTCCAGCTAATAATACTATTTTCAAAACATGTAATTTGTTTGATAATATAATTATGTTGACATACGTATAAACGCTCAAAACACCCGGAAAATAAATCTAGTATTATTCGATAATTTAGCTTTGGTTTGTCATATTTAAGAGTCTTATTCACATAAAAGTCATGTTCTATCTGTTTATACTAAAAAAGTAAGCTAATTAAATCACTTAGTAATTGATCATTTAAAGAAATATCATGAGTTTCATTAGGAAAACAATGACTTTCATCCCATTTCTTTGTTTATTTGATCTTCCGACTTAGCTGTTTTAAATATTCATATAGCCAAATTTCGTTGAATAGTACATATCACCTAATTTTTACGTTCAAAATGTTATGTTAAGATATGATAGGATTATTCATATTTACAGGAAATTATTGAGCACCTGTTTGGTTGTTTTTGGTTCAGTTAGGATTACGTAAAACTTCGTGAACAGTTCCACCTAGAGAATTCTATCAGTTTGGGAAATATATTATTCGACTATATATCTAATTATTTATTGGTTAAACGTTGGGAATATAAGGAGTTTCTGGACGTTATTGGTAAACGGTATAAACATTTTAGGTCTACTGTTCATAGTCACTAGACTTCAACCCCACATCACTCAAAATTGATCTTTAACATATTTAGTCTCTTATAAATCCTTATCTTCAGTTCATTAGTCAGCCGTGTTTGTACAGAAATCGATCAATAATGGCGAAATTTAAGCTAGTAAAACTACTCGGTAGTCAAATATATTAATAAATTCAGTATGAGCATGCATAACCCTATTTCGATTAACTAGTGGATTTCTACGACTTGGTTTACTGTAAAGAAGCAAATTTTAAACAATACATCGATTTAAATACTTAACCCTTGACCGTCGATTTTCTGTACACTCGAACATATATCGATTATTTTATTTTGAACGGCAGATTGGTGTCCTAAATCGTTTTTAACTTGAACCGGTTTGATGTTATCTAGTCAAGCAGTTAGTAAGAAATTAAAAGCAAACTATAGCTTGTTAGGTTTTGTCCCGTTCAATAAAATTCGAAATGATTATTCATTTAATATGATTTACTCATGCTCATTTGCAGTGTTTCCCTCACTCTTTTGGACAGGGTCGTTTATGTGGAGTGTAATATCAAACACATTTCAAAACCAATAACAATTAAAAGTTACTTTTATGGTAAGTTTTGTTTGAAGTTTAAGTTCAACCGTTCATAAGTAGCAACCAACCTGTCACTACCGGACATTGGTACAAATGTCACGTTAACACGAAAATAAATCAACCAGATGATACTCTATAAATGTTCAATATACCGACTGAAAAATGATTTTTTTTCTTGTTCTACAGGTGACTAAGGTTAACAGAAGTCAAGTGAGTTTAGTATATCCATTCTCAGATTTCATCACTCACCAGTCAGTTATTGTTAACGTAAACCGTGGCCGAAGTTGCCAAATCATATTAGTACGATGCGATGAAATTATGAGGTCTAGTCTAGTTATGTTTAGACTAATCACGTACCGTTAAAGTGCAACTAATCACAATTTCGTTTACACTCATCTTAGAGCAATAATTTTTGTGCAGGGGCTTGTAATCCTATCTCAATCTGTTTTTCAGATTCTCTTTGTAGAATATCGATATACTTACAAATAATCAGATGTCTAAACATTTATTATGGTTCTCCCACATTGATCGGTGTAGGGTTGCGGAAACTGAGGGAGTGTACTGATACTTAAAGTGTTGTTTTTTCCTAAGATTTATTACACAAATTATTGGACACCCTGAGCTTTATCGTTACTACTAAACTATTTTGACTGAACTATCATCATTTCACTATTAGACCAGAGTTCTTATTTTTACAATACTGAATTAATATCTGCTCGTTAACGTTGTTCTTTTTCACCAAATTCTAATCTCACAGAACAACAGAATTCATGATAATTTTGTAAGAAATAATCATGCATTATGGAAAATTGTAAAGTTAATCTAATTGAAAATTCAACGGATGTTGAACTGATCACTTCTCTCGAAGATTATAAAGAACCGGTGCGTAGAGTGCGTCCAGATGCATGTAGAAAGTCTATACAAGCAAGAAGAGTATGTTTCATTTATTAATCTCAATTTTTTACTGGTAGGAATATCTTTTCAATTAATAATTGTCTAAATAAGCATTACATTTTTCCTTCTCTGGCAACATGTCAAAGTGCAATGTGTTTTATGTTTAATAACAGTTTTCTATATTCTATCCCGATTATTATTGGAGTTTTATTCTTACATCAGGTGAAAATCTTGATAATTTATGTTAATTAATAATAATCATTCTAAATGATAAATGACAATATTTTTTTTGCAGTTGGTTCTCTTCACAAAAATTACTGCAAAAATTAACGCGATTATGTTTGTTGCATACAATGAATTCATTGTAGTTTGATACTGTCTCTTTACATCTACTTCGTACAAGATAATAAGTTCGAACTTTTCGGTAAATATTTACGTATTTGACAATTAAAAGTATGAGTTTTGTAGAGATTGTTCAATGCTATTGATATGATGAATCATTGAAAGCATGGCAGCTCTGGACAGTTGTTTTATCCTGTTATGGGACTACCCAACCGTGTAGATTCACAGCCCTACAACTTGAAGTCGAGCCCAGGGCCTTCGGTCTCGCGCCAAAATGCTTAACATCTACATCGTGTACAATTCTAACTCTAGTCAATGCTGTGTATTGCGCGACCATCTCCCATCGTCCTCGGTGGGTACCTTCTTCGTGTCTAACATAGTTGGGCTTCCCTGGTCAACTTTTCTCACTTGAACTCCGGAATTTTCTATCGAAGTTAGCCGCTAAAAAAGCACATGATGATTATCAATATGTGGATTGTGCGGATTGTTAGATATTAATGAGATTACGAATCAATCTAAGTTAGATAACCACTGAAAACCTTGAAGCATCTCACAACAAATATATTGTTCATCAGTGACTAGTATATTGTATATAAGATGAAATGACAACTTACTTTAACTGAAATAGTTTTGGCAGCATAGTTTTAGCATGATTTTTCTAGAATATTGTCAAAAATAATTTTATTACACCAAAACGTTTTATGACTACAAAGAGATGAACAAAATTAAACTTACTAAATTGTAAGTAATTAGTTCTTATTGTTCATTTCTGTTACTAAGACTACTTTACACCTTTACTTTTAAAGCCTGTTGCATTCATTGAACAAAAATCAATCGATCGTGTGCTGCTTAGTTTTTTTTATTGTAAAGTGATTCAGTTTCTTTTTTATGTGGCAATAACTTAGATGAAGTCATCATAATAAAGGTAATGGAGTAAATTCATTATGATTTATTTTCGAAATTCTCTTTAGCTGCCTAAATAAATTTAGATTCACTTGGCAGGGTGGTGGTGATTGAAATGAAAATAATATTGTGAATGTCATTTAATCAAGTATATTAGGATTGGAGAAATTCTTGTATGTGCTATCCAGAATGGTGTTTATTTGTGTGAGATTTCAATTATTATTCGATGAAGTGGGAAACAGTAGTTGGGCAGGTTTTTCTATTAAAGAGTCACAGGGACTCATCTATTACATCAAACAAGCTATTGATACATATATTTTTATTTAGGATATTGAAATACATCAGTTATCAATGAAACTGATATATTCCGACGAGAATAATGAATGTTAATTGTTAAGATCTATTTATGGACTAATATTATACATGTATTTTTTTTTATCGTATCATTGTTAAATAACGAAACTATGCATATTCATGTTCCTCTTATTATAAGCTTTATTTTGACCCACAGACTATTATTATACGATTTACCGTTCTTGAATTATGTCTAGTCTATCAATTACAGTTTCCAACATTCACAGCCACTTTTTCCTAGATCTTGTACAAATGTTGTTTCCTATTTTATGTGATGTAGTCTGTTTGGTTTGTATATAAACCCAGTATGTTTGAAATACATGATTCATATCGCGGAGGCTGATATTTGTGTTCTGGACTCAACAAACAGGGCTAGGCAGGGAGAAGGACCGATAAGTACTCTAGACTGCTCGTACGGGTTCTTGTGTCATTGGTCCGGTCGACAAGTCACTGTTCCCTAAATGGCGGTATCATTACGTTATATATTAATAGGGCAAAAGGCCGCAAGTTATAGCAGAAACTAACACAATGTTTAGCATTAGCAGTACCATTTTATCAATACATGCAGCTGTGCGTAATTTCTTACTAGTGCATTGTTATCTGAAATTATTTTACTTATTATAAGGCATAATACTGAATCTATCTTGACTTACATTTGTGAATTGAGATCTGAATCTGAACTATTTGAAGTTCATACATGAAACAGGTACTTCATAAATGTGGTTCAACTCGTAAACTGGACATTCTGTGAATCTTACTCTGTTTTATTGCCGAATAGAATTCAGTCAGCGTTGAGTCCTTAAAGCACTCATTCAGGTCGTCATGAGTGTACAAGTCTATAAGCTCCATATTATTTACTTAAGAATAATTAAATCGTTTATTATTTTCTGTCCTGTTAATTGACCTGTAATTTATTCAGTTGTTTAACTGTTTGTTAACACCCACCAAACCTTCCATTCTCTATGTAATATGTTGTTCTGTATATGTTAACACATAGAATAACACATCATAGACTTAAAGGATTTACATCTATGAATAAATCAAACTTGTGTTAATTGATGAAAGAGTCTCTAATCAAAGTTTAACATTCATTCAACTGTAATGATTAATTTATTTAATAAAATTAATTAATGGAGGATTTAAAAATTGTATATTTTACAACATTTTCAGTGTGTTCAACATTTGAAAAGATTGAAAACGCGTTCAAGTAAACTTCAGTACAATTCAACTATTCAAGATAACCAATATCAACTATCATACGAACTGTTTAATTCAATGCAAGATCTAGGTTCAATCTCCTTAACTTTAAATAATAATAATAATAATAATAATAATAATGCTAGTAACTGTTCACAACCTCCTCAACGAAAAAACATTCTTTCATATAGAGATTATTTAGCCTTACCAATTGAAATACGTTATCCATACAATTACGTCAGTGATTTATTTGAAGATGCTCATCCTGAAAATGCTGACAGCAATCGGAATAATAATAATTATGAAGAGTAAATAAAATAGTTATCTTAACATCTGAAAAGGGGATAAACCAACTTTACTACATACAGATAATATATTAACCAATTGATTTCATTTTTTATCATTTCAATAGTGATGTGTTTATTTATATAAATAAAAAAATTACATTTCACATTTGTCTAAACATTTTTCCATCTCTTTTGTTTCGTTTTTGTTAAAAGTACCACTGAGTATTTTGAACAGTGTTACTGCGCAACAGAACGAAACGACTAATTTACTGCTATATGTAATTGACACCAAATTCTAGTCGATATTTTAGAAATAATAAAGGAATTTGTAGTGGTTTTCATCTCAATACAATAACAAAATTTAAAAATCATAGAAACGGGTGTAACGTTAGCCTACGGTAGGTTCGCGTTTAGTCTGAAGATGCCTTCTGTGCTGGAGGAGTGTCAGGAGCAGTAAGTGAAATTATCTGGAAGAAAAAAGAACAAGAGGAAATGTTTGCCGACGACTCAATAAGCACATAGCATGCACTTACATTAAAAAACGAAGGCAACTGACAACAATCAGAAATAAAACGAGTTTGAGATTATGACAATCTGATAATTGGAACAATAAGTTGATAGTGTAAGGTTTCAAACGTGTTACAGGAGTTAAACTTTCTAACCTTACATAGTTACGCTTGTTAAACCTTGTGGAGGAGCACAGACCACTCACCAACATTCTCCATCCAACTCTGTCCTGGGCAATTCTTCCCAGTTGCTATTCATCCATTTCCTGTCTGCTCCAAGTTCTGACGTATTGTGTTCTTAGGCCTTCCCTTCAGGATTCCAAATTAGGGCTTGCCTTTTGGTGCAGATTGGTGATTTCCATAATGTATGTCCTATCCACTTCCAACGTCTTCTAATTTCCCGTTCCGATGGAAGCTGGTTTGTCCTCTCCCACTGGACGGCCGTTTCGACCTAGTTGTTAGGAGTTAGACATTAACACCAATAAATGGTGGCTCAGTGGTCTAATGGTTAAGCGCTCGAACGCAAGATCGATAGGTCCTGGGTCCGAATCTCGCAGGGGGCGGGGTCGTGGATGCGCAGTGCTGAGGAGTCCAATACTAGGGTGGAACGGCCGTCCAGTGCTCTCAGGTTTTTCATGGTGGTCTAGCTTCAATTGACTCATGATTTCAACTATTGAAATTACTAAAATACCCACAAAACCCCTTCTGAAAATATATATTCGATAATAGGTAACACTAAAATTCAAAGTACATATTTCATCCTTTTTCTGTGTTCATCATCATTTTATATACCTGTGTGGCTGAATCTTAAATTCGTTCCTGAATGTCGACATCGCAGAAGTACAAGCTCTTGTAAGGCTAAATAACTGACAGCTATCCCGACTTACTAGCTTGGCATATATCAGCCTAGTGTTTTCAGCCATAAGTATTAGATTTTGGTCCCATTAAATATACAGATACAGGTTCATTCATCTGATAAGTCCTGATTCGGATTGACTTCATCAAACTAATCTTACATTTATCAGCTCTAATATCTCACACAAAAGTTGTCATCGTATGAACTGATCCAATATGAACATTTCATATATATGTAGATTTTGGTCTAATCGCTTTTATTGTAATTGGAAATTAATTATAACTATAAATCGAGTGTTTATTTGAAATAAATCTCAGAAATTGTTTTCATTCAACCAATTGGAAATGCTGCAACATATCTATGAATAAGAAATATTTTAGAGAGATGAGGACTTTTTTAGTGTTAATCAACTAATATCAATGAAATAATAACTACAGTTTATTAATACATTTGTCATTAAACATGTTCATAAATAAAAAAGAATCTCATGGTATCTCCCTTTAAATTATGATATAGAACATAACCAACCAAGGATTAAAGAAATCAAATTTTAAAAATATAGATATTTTCTGAAATAAACTTCAGTTTCAGTTAATAGGTCACGTTTCATTGCTTTGTTCAATGGAGTAGTTTACTTATTTTCAGTATTGATTTGATTTGTACCATCTCCAGATGTGCATGTTTCTTTGTTAGATCGTTGTATACTTTTTTATTAACTTGATACCTGAGAGTAAAACATGACCCTTCTGCCTTTTCATGAATCGAATCCCCGTCCTTAAATTTTGAGTCAACGTCACCACCAATTCAAATTTGTTCATACGCAAAATGATATGAAAAATATTCATAACTACCGGTTACAAACAAGTAGTATAGGTTGAATACCGAAGATTTCAGGACGTTGATGGCTGGATGGTATGAATGTCAGCTATGACGCAGACGAAGTTTCTTAAACATCGGTCATGAAGTATTAAGAATAGATTATATCTAAAAATATTTGTCATAGGCTCAGTGACCGAAATCTCCCCATTTCACTAGGTCACTCAAGAACCAGTAGGTACATACCCGATATCTTGATACTGAATAGTTATAGATAATCAATCCTATGCTTGAGGTAAAAGCTTTGTGTTTGTATTAACTGTAGTTAATGTTGACCAACTTTAGGACTTATTATAAGACTGGAAAATTGATATTTGAAGTTACAATCGTATCTGTAAACAAAAGTTGGCTAAACTATTAATTAAATGGTTTGAAACTGTTAGATATTCGTTTTTTCTGAACATTTAAATATTTAATTTTTCTATTGAAAATGTACTTCTGTTTATTTGACTGTCGATTAATGATTATTTCTCAACTTCCTGCCCACTTCGAATCTCTCATTGGCTTATTTGCTTTCCACTCTGGAATAAGCCTGCATCTAAATATATTTCTCTAATTATCTTTTTGATTCCCTATTCAGCACAGTCTGAAAAATAGTGTATCAGTAGTTTAAGGCATTTAATTACTGTCACTGTTATAACCCTGTGAAGATTAAGTTGCAGGTAACTTCCGGGGACTGTTAATAGACTAATATTCTATAAATATTCTTATTGTATAATTATTCAATAATTACATTATATGTATTTATACTCCCTTAATTATAAGCTTTATTTTGACCTATAATTTATTATTATACGATTTACGGTTCTTAATATATGTTCAGTCTATTAATTATTATCTCCCCCGTTCATAGCCACTTTTTGGCTTGTTTGTGTACACATACTATTTTCTATTTTATGGTACGTTGTGGTCTGGCTGATTGGTATATAAACAGAGTATGTTTGAAATACATATATTCATATTGCGGAAGCTAGTATTGCGTTTTATTTGGACTCAAGCAGACGGGCTAGAGGGACCTCGGAACAACCAGGCGCCGGTTGAATGTCATTGGTTGGCATAGAATGAAGATTTGTATAAGTCGTATTCTGATTGGTGGATAATTCTCGTGGTAGAAAGGTCAGACATCAAGGTCATAACAGTCACAGCATCCACAAACTATTTGACTTTAAAATGCTCATGGTCTGACTTCATTATGATCCAATGGTATTGATGCTAATGAAATATGTGTCCTACTTACTTCACACATATTCCGTCGATAAATCCGTTAATAATAACGTAGATATAAAAAGTCGAGTACAAAAGTATTTGAGGTGTCTATATTTCAGACATTCAGTAATGCAGTCGAACGATAAGATACGAGAAAATGCATGCAAACAGGAAAGGCAGAAATAAACAACTCTAAGCGACTTAATGCTTATAAACACGAGAGAAATACAAGTAAATACACCAACACAAACGTATTATCATACACGTAAAATGCATGATCAAGCTTAAATTTGTGTAGTTGGCGGGATCATGTGTGAGCAATAAGATAAATGGAAAGATGAGATTAATTTGTCGATCCAAAAGTTAGGATAAATTAAATTGGGTGTGCGATGAAATAAAAGCTCCTATAACTTGATAGAGAACTTCCTCACATGGAAGGTTAAAGTGGTCTTGATAGCACATTTGTTCAGTATTAAAATTTCACATCACCTTTTATACTATACTGCATTTGACTGAAAGCAGGACATTTAATCCGCTTTGGGAGATTGTTTTCAGAATGCAGTGATTCATTTAGTGAACTTTTATCATGCAGTGAAAAGATTTAAATTGATATCATGAATGGATAAATATTAGACCACCATTGAAAACCTGGAAGCACAGGACGACCGTTTGATCCTAGTATGGGACGAGTACTTAATCATCATCTGTAGTGACCTAACTTTATCAAGAGGACGCGATTGGTTTAATGGAAACAATTATTATTATTATTATTATTATAACCAATTGTACCAATGATTGTTTTACTGTACTTGTTTGTTTGACTGTACTAAAGGCATACTTTCTTCCGTTGATTGTGACCTTGCACGAATTCGGTTACGCTCAGTAATCACACTTTTAACCTGGCACGATCTCGGTATTCTTTTGATATCACGAGATCGCTAACAAGTACATCTCAACTACAGCCATCAACTGCCTTCTGATATTTGGCCTACGGATGGATCTTATCGGTTAACTGGAACGTAGTCTTCCTGTAGTGGTGATCATAGTCAACCGCGACTCGACGCCACACTACACATCTTGATGAACATGGGCAACTTTCGATAGTCATGTTTTTAGTTCAACTGACCGAAGATAAGTATGAATTCCCTCGTAACCTTTTTTACAAACACTCGAACGATTGGAAATTAGTAAAACTCAGATCATTTATTACTATTTTAACCCAAGTATTCATTATTGTTTTAATTTCTCATCGTATGTATCCGACTTATTATGGAAAAGAAAAATGGCCTTGATACATTTTCATGCATTGTAGCAACTGAATTCGCCTGATGGTTGAGTATACAATAAATAAAGGGGTCTACTTTTAAACGGATCAATATACTATATTCCACATAGTGCACTAATTCATTCTTTTTCAAAGTTGAGCATACTTTCTGACTGATGTAAATATACAAATAGCTTCATATGGGGAATAGAGGTTAGGGAATTAAGACAGTTGAAAATTTAGCAGACAATAAAATCATATTATTTGATCCAAATACACATAACCATATTAACGATGATTTTGTATTCATATCAAATTAATGAAAAGTAAGGGAATTTTTCAAATTTCATATTGGCATCACCTCAGAGTTCTAATGCGAATTTAATTCACTGAACAGTTACATCATCAAATTAAATAAATGAATTGACGGGACGAAAGGAAAAGCGGTAAACAGCTAGGGTGTTTAACCACTATGAAATCACGAGCTTCGTAATTATGAAATGTTGGTTGTCAAACGTCGACTTTTGGTGGAGTTTTGTTCTCTGAGCTGGATGGTTTGATTGTAGGGATTTCGTCGTTATTCTGGACAACATCATCAGTGAATTGTTCGAATTTCTCCTCATATGGCTCACAGATTGTCCTGTAGACCTCAATCTTTATTGGTTATTGTTAACCTTTAACCTGACATTGTTAACTTCTTTATTTTGATTGTATCTCCCATCCAGCTCAGAGAACAAAACTCCATCAAAATCATCCACCTGAGCTACAAATCTTCTTTACCATCTCAAAAAGATGACGAAAACACTGCAGTTGAAGGGTTTCTACTCATCTAACTAACTAATTTTTCAAAGAATGTTGTTGATTTAAAATCGAAATAGATCGAGTTCTGCTGAAATATATACTGATTGGTAAAAGCAGTCATTTGTGCATAGGCCACTACGTTTTTATAAAAGTGGCAAACAACACATAACATTTTAACAATATTTATTAGATAGAAAGATGAACATAGTGAGCGGCGGTCATGATGTTTTTTTTAATACTATGCACTCATTTAATTAATTACGAGAATTTCTTGTTTAACGCTCCACTAAATACACGTAAGAAGTTGGGTGAGAAAAGGTTACTGAAACCGAATCCCATTCCTGTTTTGAATAAAAACAAAAATGTCTAATTCATTTTGGATATTTTAATGAAGGAGCCAGAATTTAAATTTGTGTACAGAACAAATCTATGTAAAGAATAAAATATTCTAACTGAAAATTGATCGTACATATATTCAGCTGAATGAAACAAAAACAACAATAAAATTGGTTATTAGTAAAACAAAATCATATTTAGTCATTTCTTCCTCTTTTTACAGGCATATACATATCGACATAACAATAATTACTTATTTAATTACTCTTGTTAAACCTTGTGGAGGAGCACAGACCACTCACCAACATTCTCCATCCAACTCTGTCTTGGGCAATTCTTCCCAGTTGCTATTCATCCATTTCCTGTCTGCTCCCAAGTTCTGACGTATTGTGTTCTTAGGCCTTCCCCTTCAGGATTCCAAATTAGGGCTTGCCTTTTGGTGCAGATTGGTGATTTCCATAATGTATGTCCTATCCACTTCCAACGTCTTCTAATTTCCCGTTCCGATGGAAGCTGGTTTGTCCTCTCCCACAGTAGGCTGTTGCTGATGGTATCCGGCCAATGGATGTTGAGTATCTTGCGAAGGCAGTTCTTTATAAATACTTGTACCTTCTTGATTGTGGTTGTTGTAGTTCTCCAAGTTTCAGCTCCATACAGTAGAACTGCCTTGACGTTCGTATTGAAGATTCTCACTTTGATATTGGTTGACATTTGTTTTGAGTTCCATATCTTCTTCAATTGCAGGAATGAGGCTCTTGCTTTGGCGATCCTTGCGTTTACGTCTGCATCAGATCTTCCTTGTTCATCGATGATGCTCCCCAGGTACGTGAAAGATTCAACATCTTCCAGAGCATGTCCATGAAGTGTGATTGTGTTGATGTTCCTCGTACTGTATTTGAGGATCTTGCTTTTTCCCTTGTCTATGTTGAGGGCTAATGATGCAGAGGCTTCTGCTAGACTAGTTGTCTTCATCTTCATTTGTTCATGTGTACGGTATAGATGGGCCATGTCATCTGCGAAGTCCAAATCTTATAATCGATTCCGAACTGTCCATTGTATTCCGTGCTTACTACAACAATAATTACTTCGGTTGAATTTCGCTATGCAAAACAGGATTAGTGAAAAAATAACTTATTCATTGAAACAATGTAAATGGAGAACAAATTTCAAATAAACCGCACTCATTATTCACATCAATGTGAAACAGATTGAATTCACTGAAAGTGAAACCATTTTTTCCTGAGAAAAAAGTTGGATCAAAAGGGTTAATATCGAAATAGAAACATTTGTTCAGAGATAATAATTGGAAAGATTTAAAGTGAACTGATATTTTTAAAACTAATGAATAATTCAACAGCAGTTTTACGGGTAATATCAACTTTATGGCGTCATACAGTCACAAAAATATTAAAGGAAATAATTTTGGATTTTCAAAGAAGAAATGTCTTGACTTCATATGTGATATTATAGTTGAGGTGATGAGGAAAATTGGTAAATGTTGTGTGCGTTTGCTAAAACTGTGCTTTTTGAATTAATTGGTCTAACTTCGATGATGTTCAGAATAACGATGAAAGCTCCAAGACCAAACCATCCAGCTCAGAGAACAAAACTCCACCTGAGCTACAAACCTTTACCATCTCAATGTCGACTGTTTTTTTGAATTTTCACTAATGGAAATTAACCAATTGTTAAAAGTCACATTGAGATACATCAGTCTATAAATATGCCCAGGTTGCACGAATTGTCGCATAACTATTCTCAAGACATACTTAACCAAGTGGCTTACTCAAATTACATGCTTCTCTATATCAGTTGGTAAATATCACGTAAGAATAATAAATTTTCTGAAACGCATAAACCAACCCGAGATTTATGGGTGAATTTTGTCCCACAGTTTTTGTAGTCGGGTTAAACTTGACCACAAAGGTGAATTTAATTCTAAACATTTGGTGGTAAAAGATTAGGTTTCACAAACCCACAAACTTTAATAGCCAATAGACTTGACGGATTTACTGCTCTTATTCTCATCCTCTGACCCAAATAATATTTTAACCAATTAAAGTAGAGAAACCAGAATTACACGACTGATCAAAAATACAATTTTGCATTTCCGTTTCTATTTGGCTACATTTTGGTGACCTTGTAAGGAGGATTAAACTACTTGTGTGAGTGTCTGATCAGATTAGTCATAAAGCGTCCACAAATCATGTTCTATCTTGTTTTCATTTTTGTCCTAGCTGATGAGCTCATTACTGTTATGCACACAAGATTATTTGAAATGCACCCGTTTCTTCCTATTCGTTCACTCTTCAAGTTGTTTTACATTACATCTGCTTTCTGCACTCTATTCAGACCCGATGTTTTCCGGTTCAATCATGACGATGTAGTTTGTGAGGGAGATCACTATTTATTTAAATGTGAACTCAGTGAATATTTAGCTGATGGAGTATTGGGGATTTACAAGCTGGAAAATGAATTTATCCCTGCTAATTTGAGTGCCCAAGAGAAAGAGGTGGCAGAAATCTTCAAAAAGGATCCCTATCCCAATTTGGCCATATGGTCTCTAAGAGAGGTTTTCGAAGAACACGGAGTTCATAAATGGGTAAGTACCTGATGTGAAGAAGTGTTCGGAGTATCTAGTCTATTAAAATATATGTCACCATTATGGTTCATTTTAACTAATTTCAGGATTAATAGTGTTTTTCGATTCAAAATTTTGGGATTTGGTTTCTAGAGACCTGGAAATAGTCTTTATTCTAATAAATAGTGAAATCAATAAGAGGTTTCCTCAAACACGGCAACATGAAGCACGATAATGACCTGGATTCTTTTACCAGGTCAAGATGGTTCAAGCTTTCCCAATTTGAATTATCCACCAAACGGCTGAATTTCCTCATTAAATTCTTTTGTTGTAATCACAACACTCCAAGCTTTTTTGTAACAGTTGAATAAAAAAAATTATCTCTGCGATGCCAACAATCTAAGAGGCTAATGACTACTCACATAGTATCTACAAGTATGACAGTAACAGGCGACCATCAAGATTGACGAATTATTGAGGTAAACTAGTGTTGCCAAATCCTGTCACAAAGCTATAATTTTTGAGATGGCATCTGACCTATTAAGGAAGTTGGAACTGTGACTAATTCCTTTTCTTTTTATAATTATAGCATGTCTCAAATTAACAATACTTACGTACCGTCTGACAATTCACATGGTTTCGGTCTCGCTTCATTGTTGATGATAAGTAGACTAGAGCACCCTTTTGTGTTTTGACGTTTGTGGTCTTATATTCTTTAGTGACTGTGAAATTATTGAGAAATACGTTATCCCTATTTCTCATTAATGTGCTGGAAACGAGGCAATAATTAACCATTAGGAATATTAGGAAAATACGTTGGTTACAAATATGAGGGATTTCAGTATTGGTCACGCTCCATTGTCAGGAGAATTCTTACGTCTTATTATAATCGCTTTCCAATATTTAGCGTTTTGGTTCAAGTAAGTGGCCGTACGTTATTGTATGCAAGCAAACAGTCATACAATTGGCTTATTGATATGTTACACATTATCTATAGTGTGGTACCAGATTACCTAAAACACATTTCCTTAGACTAAGAATGCGTAGTACTAGGCGTGATCTGTATGTTTAAACTACTGAGTACCACGTTAATACAGATTGAGTCTTATTCACTTGATAATTTTAATTTGCAATCAGTACTAGCTACTATATTTTATCAAGTGCTTGTCAAGTGCTACCTACTTACTATAGCTAATAGGAGAGTCCATTCTCGAATAAACTGATTTTAGTTCTCATCTAAGATAACCTTCGGAAACCCAATACTCATCATGAAGAAAATACAGTATTCTTCGTCCTGACAAGCTGACGCGAGTATACCGCTCCACCATAAACTGTATTCCACAGCTACTTAGTGATCGATAGGTAGGACTTTTAAATCTAAATTCCTTAACGTCCAGATAACAACGTCTAAAAATGAGCAGTTACCCAGTTTGTAAATGTGCTTTCACTTCCCGAAATTCTCGCTTGTCTGAAAGGAGCACGATGTGGTAACGGTAACAAGAAGTTATTTTTGTTAATTATGTATATATTTCAAAACAATTCTTTCGTGTTCATTACGTTTTTGATAGATATGAAGTAAAGTGATTATATTAGGCTTAATGATGAAGTCTATCAGAGAACAAAATCCAATCTGGTTCTACATTCCTGAAATAACTACAACTACCATAATAGACAGTAATAACTACTGAATACACTCCAGTCTCATTGTCTTAATTTTAACATGTGCTTACTGATTTATCAAATCTCTTTAATTTCGAGAATGTTTAACCGTTATCATCGGCATTTGTCTCCACAGTGATTTTTATCGTCTTATCGGTAAATTACTTTCGTAGTCACTAGACTGAAGGCTTTTTCAATGTGCAAAAACTATTATTTTATAAAGACTTTCGTAGGAAATTGCCTCAGTACTATTCATATTGTTTTGGGGGAGTTCTTCGTAATACACTGTTGGTTTGGTACTTTTGACTATGATGTAAGGTATGGAACATTTCATATGAATAGTTCCACAGTAGTTGGGCACCAAGTTAATGTAAGGCATTAAGATGATTATATTAGTAAAAACCTTAGCGTTTGTTCAATCGAATAAGTCTTATCCTACCAGTATTTTCGTGACTAAAATATTCCGTTGGTAAAATAATTCGCTGTAAATATTTTTAGTTTTATTTCTCTAATGAGGTTAAATGACGTTTCAAAATCTAGTGTACTATCTTTGAAATAACTATTTTGAAATAATAACCAGAATACTAATATTCTGCTTCTCATGGTACCACATTAGACATAGTCTCCGTATTCTAGGACAAATACAAGTTAGGTTTCGAGATAAGTGGGAGCCGTTTTGGTTCTATCTTACTAAAAGGATGTTTCGGATGACCACACCTTTGATAACCTGGTATCTTTCCTATAACGGTAAAGTTTTGGAATACAATAACTAAGGTGATTATATTCATGATTTATTGCATTGAAATGTTTTAGTATATATAGGGTTTCTAACCTTTATTTATTGATATGGATCACTCCTAAGTTATTTCCTTTAGTTATTCGGTTTCATCTGCTTTTTCCCCTTTTGAAAGGTATAGAATACATCTTACCGTTATGTGAATATGAGCTTGTTTATTGCTCTGAGCTGGATTGATTTCTATTCATTCGGTTTGATAAGTAATACATTTGCTAATTACTCGACATTATCTTGTGCACATTGTAACTATCGGGTTCAAACCCCGCTGTGTTTAATTTCGCTTAGGAAGCTGTGTAGTAGTATCTTTAATCCTCACAAAGTGCAGTTCAGATCTAAGTATGTGATCTTGTGCTTGGCATATGGTTTGCATCACGATCGGTTAAACATTCTTTGCAGACTGTGTCTGATACATTGGATACATACAGTAGTTTCCACGCTTGTCAACGTGAACCTGTATTTTTGTGTCTACATACTACTATACTAGTGTAAACTTAGTATTCAGTCAGTCAGCTAGCTACAATGTAGGACCAGGCACATATATGCATCGGTCCAAGTTGCCATACCACATTAACACAACATGAAGGACACCGGATTCATAAAAGTAGTTAATTCAGAGATTACAATAAGGATATAGTACAGGAAGAAAGGATTAGTTCGTGAACGTGATCAAGTTAGCTAAGTTGTTTATCATAAGATGGGAAAAGTTTCCAAGTTACCAGATAAAATAAGTAGCAGTTTCTTGAGTTGTATTGATAATCCTAAGCTCCTTGGTTTTAGTGCCTTATCAAAGAACTACGTTACAACGTGAGTACAAAAAGGGTAATTTCAATTACAATATTCCAAGTGGTAGAATGAAGTTGACAGAGTATCTGTTATTAATTAGCGGTTTGCAATTGGTCCATTCAGATGATGATCAGAATGTTTTCCATAGGCATATATTTTCTAATTGAATATTATTCAACTATTTGCATTCATGTACATCTTAAATTTACAGGCATTGTAAATTATATCACAGTTTCCAAGATGTATTTATTTATTGTCAGTAATTTACTTTATTGATTATCACTTTAATTGATCAAATTATTAATTTCCAGAATCAAACTTACGATCGAGATCACAAAACATTTAAATATAGATATGGACCATTGACTCAAAATGATTCTGGACTTTATTATTGTCGTTTTATTATTCCTGGTGAATATTCGACTTTAATGTCGACTTACATGAAACTTGAAGTTAATATGAATTGTCCTAAACGTAAGAATATTTCAATAAATCAGAAGTCTATTATGATTTGGTTCCATTTAGTGAATTTAATGCCAGTCTTCATTTGAAGTTGATCCCACGTGGAAGAAACTTTAAAAAATCAGATGTTACTTCGGGATCGTTGTTTTTATATTTTCATGCATTTTAAAATTTCGTGCTACTAATCTGTTGTGTAAAAGAGGTTTAAATGATAAGTTGACTTCCTAATACTCCTCAATTTCCAATAGAGTATCGATCTGCGACAATAATAGATTTGAAATATGCTGTTGACTTGCACAGGGAATTTAGTTCTGCACACTATCCTTGACACCCTATATCTTCTTTTCATAGAAAATAAATATTTAGAACATCGTTTAGTAATTACATTTCAATACTACACTGTATTTTTCCGGGCGAAAAGAATTCATAAAATAAATAGAATTGATTAGAGACGGGATTTTTCTGGACTAAGATAATGCTTTTTGATTGAATACTATTAAAAGTATAGTTTTCTGGTTGAGCAAAATAGTACCCTCTGGGTTTGATAATGACGATAATGCATGCCTCTAATTGAAACGATGAATAGAATCTTAGTGGATGATTGATGTACAATCATACAGTGTAATTGGCTGACAAGTGCTTACAAAGCCGAATCATTGATGTAAGCATTCGGACTGATATTAAAAGACAATCAAACTACTGGGAGAATAGATTGTTTCTGTATTAAAATAACATGCTTATATACAAAGTCTTAACCCTAAAATGTAAACATAATTTGAAGTAATTTGGAAGATAAGGGTTACTGTAGGGCAGATTTTTCTTATGTCACATACCAATGAAATTAGAACCGGGCTCATAGTTTTTATTCATACTCATTGTATCAGGGTCTGAAATTTTTTTATGCGTGTAAACTCAAGTCAGTATTAGAATCACCAAATAACTGAATGACAGCCCGATATACGTCTTGGAAATTATTGTCCTATTTTCATTAGTCACTGACTTCGATTGGCATTTAGTATGAATCTCTTTAACTAATGAAGAATAAACATGTTAGGTTAGAACAGAGAAGGAAGATGGAGGACTCATCTTCTACATCATTGTCGACTTCATGGTGTTTTTCAGTTCTAGCTACATAAGCTATATATCTCAATGATTGCTTCAAATCAATTTCAATTTCAACGCAGATTACAAATTATTATCACCTAACTCATTTGTTTATAATATGCATTGATTCCTATGTATTTTATTCCTTTCTAAACTTTTATTGGGACGAAAATTACACATTTATATATATAGTTAGTGAATGTCAGTGACCTAATTTGTTTTATCTTCACTATGTATATTTCATTTTGTCAGACTCATCATTCAGGAGCTATCTTTAAGTTATGGAGTTATCTTTAAACTATTAATAGTCACATAACTTTGTCTGAATTTGTCTGGATTTCTACATTGGAAACAATTAGATGAAATTTATATTTTTGGTAATTGTACTGGATTTCGGAAGCACAATTACGGGTTCTCTAAAAGAGGAAGTCGGTTAATCGACTGAATCAGTTTAGGTGTATTTGGCTATAAATTTCATTTGGAATGAAGTATGCACTGTTAAATATAATCTATATAGGACAAACTGTTGAATGTAACTAGTTTACCTCCCAGAATCTTTTAATGTATGGACAATGGTATCATTGTTGTCTATAAAAATAGACGTTTCAAGTCCAAAACTTCACAACTGCTTTTATCAGTGGGATTCTAACTAAGGGGAACTCAGTGTCTTAGTAATACGACCCCTGAACTATCCAGATCACTGCTAGGTCTACTGTTAGAACTAAATTGATTATTCTACGTGATTACTGGTAAACATACAGTATCCCATTGTTGATTACTTGGTGTTAACCGAATCCATTAGATCCGTTTTAATGTTACCTAGTTGTCTAGGTCAACAATCAGCTACGCTATATGGGGCTGGAGACTGATTTTATGTTGGAGTAATAAACAGAAATTAGTCCTAACTTATATTTAAAACCATATGTTTGCTCTAACTTACTTTCTTACAGACTGGCCTTAGGATTGGATGACTCATTTAAAACCATCCATCCAATACATCTCCCCATCTAATTTCCAAATCTCAATTCTCAACGCCCACGCTATCTCAACTTTCTTGTTGTCTAAGTTTCATGAACAGTTTTTGTGACCTTGATCTTGTTTCAGCAGGTTTACAATCTATTTAACTGATCTGTATTGGTTAGTTCATAATTTATGATCCATTTTCGTCTCATCCCTAGCGCAACAAAAACGGCCATTTAAGTACGGTTTAAATTCACTTGGTCTAGAATTTAGAATCTATCATCTTATCACGGATCTAGTAGCTAAGTGGGATTTAGGCGCACACAGCTTGATCCTAAAGACTGCATGTTAGAATGTGATTGAGTCATCTTATTGATTATAAGATAGTTTAAATGGCTGGTATGATATGCTTTGTTTGTTACTTTCGCTTGTGGTCAAGCATTAAGGTAGGGATAGCATTGCAGTTTAATCATCTAAGTTCTTAGCAGTTATTCTCTGGAGTTGTACACTTAGTTTATCTCCATTTTCCGACAGCTTATTTCTAGTCATGACTTCATGGCCGCCTAGCACGTGAGCTTGTATTTTGTTACTGAATTCCAATTATTTACATGTTTCGGACATGTATTTTCTCTCTGAATACAATTACCAATAGTTTTCAATTAACTTAATCCATTTATATTTCTATATTCATTTTACTCCTCCTTCTCCCCCCCCCGTAGCATTAATCAACTGGGTTGTTCGATTACTCCCATATTTCCTATTGTTCGTCTTTATCTCGGTGATTCTTCAACTGGTTTGGCTATGGAGACGAAAATCTGAAATTATTACATATAAGTTGATAAGTATTGGACGTTCTATAGAGTACTATCAGTTTGCTACAAGTGATGCACAAATATCAAATAACAATAATTCGGATAATAATTCATTTGAAAATACTACAAGTTTAATGTTAGACCCGATTAATAAACCTGTGATTAATATAAACACTATTGTCACCCGTCGTCCACCGAAATTTATAAATAAAATTAAAGAACGATATACTACTAATCGTTATGTAACTTCACAAAGTCAACAACAATTTTATAATAGGTTCACACATGAAAAAGATATACAACGTTTAAAAGAATTAGATAAACTATTCTTATCCAATTATCAACTCGAAAAAGATGAACATTATGAGTTCTCACGTAAAAATCTTCAATTAACATGTCGATTAGGTTCAGGTGCTTTTGGTATTGTTTATAGAGGTGTTGCGGAAAATCTACCAAATTGTGTTAACCCTAATGAGAAAATCGATGTTGCTGTTAAAACTTTAAAAGGTTTGTGTTTATTTTTATTTTGTTGAAAATGTTCCCGTGTTTTCTTTCTACTATTGAGGTTGAAAGCGAATCTGGACTACAACTGTGACATATACCATCGATAAAGTCATTCCACCAATGACGGCGATACCACATGGTCTAATTAATTTATCTTTTAATTAATAACTCAGATAAATGGAAATTATTACATGGCTAACTAATTGTTAGGTTTGTAGGGGATTTGTTTAACGGACTGATGTCGGTTAGAGTTACTATTGAAAAATAGTGTAGATTGGTTTGTCGCCTGATCCTAATGGAATACGCACCCATGACCCGTACCAGAGTTAGAGTGACTTTTATCCGTTAGTAAACTTTTAGTGATGTTTTTTTCTATATCATCTTCATTGAAACCTGCATCGATTTAGTTTGCTGACCCATTACAATCAAGGGAGTTGTTCTTACTTGCTTACTTACGCCTGTTACTCCTCGTGAAGGAGCATAGGCCGCTCACCAGCATTCTCCATCCAACCCTGTCCTGGGCAATCCTTTCCAGCTCCGTCCAGTTGTTATTCATCCTTTTCATATCTGCTTCTATTATCCGACGCAATGTGTTCTTTGGCCTTCCTCTTTTTCGCTTCCCTTCAGGATTCCAAGTTAGGGCTTGCCTCGTGATGCAGTTTGGCGATTTGCGTAATGTATGTCCTATCCATTTCCATCGTCTTTTCCTAATTTCCTCTTCAGCTGGAAGTTGGTTTGTTCTCTCCCACAGAAGGCTATTGCTGATGGTATCCGGCCAATGGATGTTGAGTATCTTGCGTAGGCAGCTATTTATAAATACTTGTACCTTCTTGATTGTGGTTGTTGTAGTTCTCCAAGTTTCAGCTCCATACAGTAGAACTGCCTTGACGTTCGTATTGAAGATTCTCACTTTGATATTGGTTGAAAGTTGTTTTGAGTTCCATATGTTCTTCAATTGTAGGAATGCGACCCTTGCTTTGCCGATCCTCGCCTTTACGTCTGCATCTGAACCTCCTTGTTCATCGATGATGCTTCCTAGGTATGTGAAGGACTCTACATCTTCCAGAGTTTCGCCATCAAGAGTGATTGGATTGCTGTTCTCCGCTTTGAATTTGAGGACCTTGGTTTTCCCTTTGTGTATGCTGAGGCCTACTGATGCAGAGACTGCTGCTACACTGGCTGTCTTCATCTGCATCTGTTCGTGTGTACGTGATAGGAGGGCTAGGTCATCTGCGAAGTCCAAATCGTCTAATTGATTCTGAGCTGTCCATTGTATTCCGTGTTTTCCTTCAGATGTCGAGGTCTTCATAATCCAGTCGACCACCAGAAGAAAGAGGAAGGGAGAGAGTAAACAGCCTTGTCTGACTCCAGTCCTTACTTGGAATGCATCTGTCAGCTGTCCTCCATGCACTACTTTGCACTGTAGTCCGTCGTATGAGTTCCGGATAATGTTGACAATCTTCTCAGGAACTCCGTAGTGTCGAAGAAGTTTCCATAATGTCCTCCTATCTACACTGTCGAATGCCTTTTCATAATCAATGAAGTTGATGTATAGTGATGAGTTCCACTCAACTGATTGTTCGACGATGATCCGTAGTGTTGCAATTTGGTCTGTGCACGACCGATCCTTACGGAATCCAGCTTGTTGATCTCGAAGTTGGGCGTCTACTGCATCCTTCATCCGGTTCAGCAACACTCTGTTGAAGACTTTCCCTGGTATTGACAGTAGTGTAATGCCTCTGTAGTTTTCACATTTGCTCAGATCTCCTTTCTTTGGAATCTTGACGAGGTGTCCTTCTTTCCAGTCCATCGGCACTTGTTCCTCCTCCCAAATCTTTTTGAATAGAAGGTAAGCATGCTTGTGGTTGCTTCGATGTCTGATTTCAGTGCTTCAGCTGGTATGTTGTCGGGTCCTGCTGCTTTCCCGTTCTTGATTTGTCTGACGGCCATTCTAATTTCTTCCGTCGTTGGTGGGTTGACATCTATAGGAAGATCTATGTGTGCTGCTTCGATGTCCGGTGGATTCATTGGAGCCGGCCTATTCAGGAGTTCCTCGAAGTATTCTACCCATCTGTTACGCTGTTGTTGAATTTCGGTGATTGGCTTGCCTTCTTTGTCTTTGACCGGCCTCTCTGGTTTACTGTATTTCCCTGCTAGTTTCTTCGTTGTATCGTGAAGCTGTTTCATATTTCCTTCTCTAGCAGCTTTTTCTGCCGTCGTTGCTAGTTCTTCCACGTATTTCTTCTTGTCGGCTCTAATGCTCCTCTTCACTTGTTTGTTTGCTTCTATGTATTCAGCTTGTGCTTGGACTTTCTCTGCTCGTGTTCGGCTGTTGTTAATTGCTGCCTTCTTGTTCTTCCTTTCTTTGATCTTGTCCAGTGTTTCTATAGAGATCCATTCCTTATGATGGTGTTTCTTTAGGCCCAGAACCTCTTGACACGTTGAAGTTAATGCTTCCTTGATGCCTTTCCAGTTGTCCTCCATAGTAGTTTCTTCTTCTTCAGTAGATCTTGTAAGGCTTGGAACCTGTTGTTGAGAGCTATCTTGAATTCATTGAGTTTGTCAGTATCTCGAAGGAAGGCTGTATTGAACCTTTGTAGTGCTGTTTGTCCACTTGTCCAGTTCTTTTTTAGCTTCAGTTTTAAATTGGCTACAACTAGGTGGTGATCTGAAGCTACGTCAGCACCTCTCCTGGTTCTCACATCTTCCATTGTCCTTCGGAATTTTTTGTTGATGCAAATATGATCTATTTGGTTCTCTGTAGTGTGGTCCGGTGAGATCCATGTAGCCTTGTGTATACGCTTGTGTGGAAATATTGTGCCTCCTATGACCAATTTGTTGAATGCACATAGATTTGCAAATCTTTCTCCATTTTCGTTTCTCTGTCCCAGTCCATGTCGTCCCATGATATCTTCATATCCAGTGTTGTCTATTCCGACTTTGGCATTTAGATCTCCCATCAGAATAGTTAGGTCCTTTCTTGGCATTTCTCAATGATTGACTGCAGCCGCTCGTAGAACTGATCTTTAATGTCGTCGTTGCTATCATTGGTGGGTGCATAACATTGGATAATATTCATTAAGATCCCCTCCTTCTTTGTTTTGAATGATGCTTTGATGATTCTGGATCCGTGAGACTCCCATCCTACAAGTGCATTTCGTGCTACTTTGGACAGCATAAGAGCGACTCCCTGAGTGTGTGGAGCATTGTCCTCTTCGTGACCGGAGTATAGCAGCATCTCTCCCGTAGCTAGCCTTTTCTGTCCAGCTTGGGTCCAGTGGGTTTCGCTGATTCCCAGTACTGCTAAGTTGTATCTCCTCATTTCCATTGCTATTTGACTGGTCTTCCCGGTTTCCCACATTGTTCGAACGTTCCATGTACCTATAAAAATTTTTGCTCTGGTTGTTAGAAGGGGCATCGGCCTCGTGGCTTCCGAAGGAACTCGGCTTTCACCATGAAGCGTCATAATTCTTCTAACTGAAGACCTTCTAACTCCCAGGGCAGAGTTTAAATGGTTTGAATTATTTTTTCTGGTAAGCGTTTTTTTAGCGAGTTAGTTTTCTACGGGATGGGGACGCTAACCCCATGCCCAACCCTCCTCCTTTACCCGGGCTTGGGACCGGCAGTAACTCTAGAAGAGCTACAGGCGGAGTTCAAGGGAGTTCTATGACAACTAAAATGTCGATGGATAAATGGAATTTTATATTTAATGGTTGAGAATTTTTTATTTGTTAGACCATCGTTTAAAAGTGTCTAGGTATGAAAAGTCGAAGTAATTTCATCTATCAGCATTGAAAAATTCAATTAAATCACTTAAACCTCACTATTACAAAATAGAATATCACGAAAGTAAATTAACTGGAATAATTACCAGTGTAATTCAAAATGTATTTACCGTGTTTAATACATATCAGCTAAAAATACCTACATTTCACTCTTACTATCATTCATTACAACGTGTAATCATCACCAATCACTTTATTTATCAGTATTGAGCGTAATCCCACCATTTGTCCAATACTTCTCAGTCCTTAGAATAACATTAATTATGTAAGCATAAATATGTACATTTTTCACAGTCGACAAATTGGGAACGAGTGCAGTAACTTCTAATTTTAAAAGTTACCCGTTCTCTTTCAGACCATTTGTTATATCTTAACGAAGAATAAACTAATGGTAACGACTAGTAATTATTTATGGATTGTTATTACACATATTCCTATTGGATAACTATCAAGTATAACTATACTATGTATATTCATATTCCTTTTATTATATGCTTCAATTTGACCTATCGACTATTATACGACTTATTATTCTTAACTTATCCTCAATCTGTTAGTTATTATTATTATTATTATATTATTATTGTTATCGTTATTATTATTATTATTATTATTATTATTATTATTATTATTATTATTATTATTATGATTTTGATGATGATTATTACTGTTACTATTATTATTATTAGTACTATTATTATTGTTGTTGTTATTATTATTATTAATTATTGTTATTAATGGCTTTATTCATAATATTTTTGGTACAATGTAGAATCCTCAGCACAAAGTATCTCAACAAGTTTCCTTTTATTTCTTGATCGATTCTGGTGATTATTATTGAGTGATCGCCAGTTATATATAAGCAGTTTCAGGAATCAACATCTGAATAATGTTCATTCTTTTCAATTCAGATTACCGACAATTACGATGTCGCTGATTGTACTTTTTTATAAATTGTACAGCGAAAGATCGTAAACTTTCAACAGACGGGCCTGAATAGGCTATGCGAATAGTGGACATAATGATGTGTTAAAACAAACAGAAACAGATAACTTGTTAAACATCTAAATAGTAAGAACAGGTAGCCCAGATATTCAAGCAAGCACCTATCTCACAATCATAGCCACTTTTGACTTAATCTTGTATGACTGTTACTTTTTATTTTATGGCGTGTTTAGGTCTGATTTGCTTGTATATGAATTGCGTATGTCTGGAATGCATGAATCATACAGTGGGAGCTGAAGTTTGTGTTCTGGACTCGAACAGATAGGGCCAGGCGAGAAGGGACATAACAAGGGCTCAAAGTTGAGCTCAGGCTGCTCATATTGGATAACGCGTCATTATTTTGGCATAGTGCTAAGGTCAAAAAATCTCGGTGTTCTAATTAGTGATCTTATCATGTGGTAATAAACAGGCCAAGAGACAACACCACTTATGACCGCTTTCGCTTTTATATTTGTTTCATTCTGGATTTGTTTTATTTTGAGTTCCTGATACAATAAAACCAATGTACCACCGCATTTGAATCTATGTCTAGATTTGTCATTGATGCCTTAACAAGATTAGGAATAATGGATTGTAAAGTTATATACTAAAGATTCCATATTCAGAGATATTGGAAGCGTTTCCGATGTACAACACGATAGTCCTATTAAGATGGATTAAAATTACCGTGAAATATGTAGTTTCAGTAAATCACCTTCAATTTCTACAATTATTCTCTTAAAATATACATTTATTTAAATGCTTTGTAATTTGTTTTACTACATATAGATGATTTCAAAGAAGAAGATGTGTCTGAATTCTTGATGGAAGTGAACATTATGAAACAGTTGCGTCATATGCATATTATTGAATTTTATGGAGTTTGTACGGAAAATGGTTAGCCTATATTCTATACCCTATTCATAATATCAATATTACCTTTTTGTACTACTGAATGTTTCTGTCATTCCATTGATCGTCCGATTGGATGATCACGTTGTTCTAATCGGTTTTAAAATTCATCAGCATGTATGTGTATTGAGTAAAAAAGTAGGATAGTTAGAATGTTCATTACGTTTAAACTAATTAGTAATGTTAGTGCTCTCCAGTATATTCGATTTTTACAGTTGGAACAAGACACGGGTTACATTGGTGTTTTCTAGCAGCTGGATTGTGCAAAAACTGATCACACTGATAATATGGATGAAAAGATCTGATGTTCTCACAAAAAAAATACTAACTTCGAACTGCACGTGATAAAATCTTACTTTTTAGCAAATTGATTGACTAAGCTAGCCTTTGTTGACTCACTTTTGTTCTCCCGAAAATGGCCATCTGATATTGTCGAGCCTCTTTATATGTGACACACTGAAAATGCTATTCATGCCCTACATATATACATAGTCTAGTGAAACACGGCATACAGACCAAATCGATTAGTGTGAGAAAATGTAGCGGCTTTAGTATTCATATATGCTATCCAATCATATGCAAAAAGTATTTTGTTTAGTAAAAGCTGTTTTTCCACCTTGCCCACAAATTGTATCTCTCATACTAAGCTCATTTAATCAGAGCTTTTGGTTCAATATTCATTTTATCAAAGCTGCTGAACTGATAGTTAAAACAAATCCTACCACATTTCAGTGACTTCATAACATACCGAATACACGATGCTATTATTGTCTATAAGACATCAGGAACCGGTAGCAAATTTATCAGTCTTGACTATCACAACCTAAGGTAACATGAATAAATTACACCTAAATCCTATTAGGAAATTACTGCGTGACTAGCATGAGAAGCAACCACTACTTTGGGACGGATCATCCCAAAGTTTGTACAGGTGATACGTACTAATATTACAGGTTTTACGATATTAACTTAATAATTAGCTATCGACTTTGCTGAATTAAATCAAACCATAAAATCGAAAACTATTGGGAAACAAAAAAATAATTGCTTTGGAATATCTTCAACTCAGTTATATCAGTTATGCATGGTCTGAAAGCATTTACAATGAAATTTTTATTGAGCAGCACGTTCAGGTTGTGGTATGATATCAGTCTCCCCAGGGTCGATGTCTTTTTTTGTAAAGAATTGTTAGACTGCCAAGGTTCTGGTTGTTTTGATGACTTTTTATAATTTTAGATATATATTTTACAGGTTTTGTACTTCTGCATACAGCTAGTAAATATCAGTGGTTTTATACTCTAGGCTCACCACTTTTAATAATGGAATATGCTCCTTATGGGAATCTCAAAGAGTATCTACGTCGTCATCGGGAAATTTGGTTGAATTGTGACAATTTATCTTTGAAACTCTTAAATTTCGGATGTCAGGTTGCTAATGGTATGAAATATCTGGAGTCAAAGTGTGTAAGTATAATTTGAGCTAAGAGAAAGATTCTGTTGTTCATATTAACATGCAGTTTAAAATTTAAACTATTATAGTTTCCTGTTTAAGCGCGCTTATTAGTTTATCATTGTCATAGCTTTTGTACTGAAAAAAGCTGTACAACTCGCCTGTGAAACGCATATGGAGAAATTCGAACCCTTCACTTCTATCTGAAGTTTGTGCTGATGATGTCGTTCAGAAGAACGATGAAAGCTCCATGACCAAACCATCCAGCTCAGAGAACAAAACTCCATCAAAAACAACTCGCCTATATTTATTTTGCAAAGGTCCATTTTTTTTTATTTCTAAGGCAATATTTTCCTAGTATTCACTTTTCCTAGATCGGCTCCTGGTAGACAAATATTCTTATATCAACCGGTGAGTTACGTTATAGGTTCATAGTTCAATGCCTCATAGAGTATCTGGTGATATGCTTCATTTGTAGTTATGTGTTCTATGTGAGTAATGAAACTGTTTATCTAACTGTAAACTTTTAATGGCCCATTGATCTGACTCCAATATGAAAGGACGTATGAATATGATGTTGTGTCCTTATGGCCCGCTAGTTATCACGCAATGCATTCGCCAATCAAAATACGACTTATTCGCTCTTATACTGTACTAAAACAATGACGTCCGACCGGCCTGACCAGCCTAGCGTCCTATTGGTCCGTTGCTCGCCTAGCCCGTCCAGCTGAGTCCAAAATGCCAACAACAGCCTCCACTGTGCGAATAATTAATTTCAGACATACTGGGTTTATATACCAAACAAACAGACCATAACGCACCATAAAATAGAAAATAACATTCATACACAATAAAGCCAAAATTGGCTGTGAACGTGGGAGACAGTAATTAGTAAACTGAGTATAACTTAGAAACAGTAAGTCGTACAATAATAATCTATAAGTCAAAATGAAGCTTATAATAAAGGGGATATAGATATATACAATCTAATTACTGAATGATTATACCATATATATATATATATATATATATATATATATATATATATATAATATTAGTCCATTAATAGGTCTCAGAAGTTACTCGTACCTTAATCTTTACTAGGATATAACATATGCCCTCAATACATATCTTCCATTTAACTCTGTACATTACACTTAAGCTAACCCGTTTGTGTGACCGGGGGTAATAAGCACACAAATATGGGTTTAGTTGGATAAACTTATTTCAGGAACTCGTTCAATCATGCAGATTTTAGGAATGAGAGGTGGGAAAGAGAATCATACCGGAAAAGGAAATCGTGTCAACTCCATTTGATAATTCATGACTCAGTATTTATAGCCAGACAAAAATAGGTTCTCGACATATGATGAATAGCGAATACAAACGTTCTTATAAAAACGGTCTGGGTTATGAGTGAATGATTCACAAGGTCAAAATGTGACTTAAGAAGAACTAACAAATTGGTCTGTCCGGAAGAAAAAATACCTATGTGGACCTGACATATATTAATAGACACTACAAGCTAATGTTATTTACACTTAAGTTTAATTTGGTTTTTAAGATCGACCACTGAGTGGTCACCAATGTCACATTTGTCTAGTCCTTTTCAGTCCTGGTCGAACTTTCTCGATCAACTTGCAGTGCGGTCACCAATCTAGGCGACTCGACATTGCATGCACTGTGTTGAGATGTTAATTATTTGGAGGTCGTTAATAAAAAAAGTCCTACTTAACCTGTGTTTTGCGTGATTTGGGACTCATCAGAAAGGTGTACCAGCAATCTTGAGGGAGCTAATTAGTGTTGTCATGTGGACTGCAGAGTTGGATGATGGGATCAAACTCGCCAGGCAGCACCAGTTCCCTAATGATTACAAGCGTACCTTGATGATGAGTGTCAAATAACACAAAAACCTAGGTCAATCAAAGTTTTCTGTCGGTTTTTTCCAACCACCTAACATTTTGATTTCATTATATTCATCGTTGTTTGTTTTTGTTTTTTATATCTGAAAAACAGCTTATTCATCGTGATTTAGCTGCTCGTAATATTTTGGTTGGTAAACATTATCAATTAAAAATTGCTGACTTTGGACTTACAAGGTTTGCTGAAAATTATTATCGTAAAGTGAAAAATGTGAGTATCCACCAACTAATGATTTTAAATTAATTGAGATCATGAACCGACTAATTTTAGACTATCATTGAGAACCTGGAGGCACTAGACTTCCGTTTCGTAACAGTATGGGACTCTTCAGCAGCGTGCATCCATGGTCTCGCATGCCGCATTCGAACTCAGCATTTTTGGTCTCGCCCACGAATGCCTAACCTCCAGACCCTTGACCTGGCATCCATTGGTGTTAATGTCTAACTTCAACCAATCCATGCTATTGCTCGATCATCTTCTATTGTCTTCGGTGGATAAATGCCTCATATCCGACATGGTTGAACTCCACTGGTTATAACTAAAACTCAACAATCTCCACAACCCTTATCGAAGTTGATATCAACTTATACCACCCATAATACTTAACGTTGATTCATATATACCGGTCAGAAATATCTCACCTACTTATATTGCATAGGTAGTGAGTTGATAACTTCATAAAATAATCCCTTATTTTCTAATGAAGATTACATTTTTCAAACTGTTTTGTGTGAACTAGTAAACATTTCTAACCAGACCAAATTAAATGTCCAGTACTCATTTGTTTCCATTGGTTCTTCAACTGTTGTCACCATATAACCGAAATTCTTGTAGTTTATATAACGAACTGGTCTCAAAAAAGCACTGAACAGCTCTTTCGTTCCCTGGTTTTCAGTGATTGTCCAACTTAGATCAGTCTCCGATACAAACTCGGAAAAATCAACAATCTTGATAAAGCCCCCTATACTAATGAAGGTACTGTCTTAATTACTTGAAATAAACTTCGTTTAGATTAATTTACGCAAGTCGGTCATACTACTTGTTAAAATAGTTTTAAAGTATTTTTTTCATTCACTCGTTTTCTGTTTTGCATGTCTCAATTAACCTGTCATCAAGGTTAACTGATCACATGTAATTTGAAAAAAATGCTACATTGTTTTAATGTGATCATAGTTTTGTGCTGGATAGTTTCAATGGAAATGTTTTTTTACTAAGAAAATTAAATTTATAATTGTGTTGAGGATATGCTACTTATATCAATTGGAATAGGTGAACACAAAGAAATGCTTTTCATATAATGAGAGAGGAGAGAGTTTAGTAAGTTTATTGTTCATCTGATCAAGATGATCGCATGAATGTTTGTGTACGCGTCAGTGTCAATTTATATAAATACGAAAGGGTTGTTGACATTATTATTCAGCTTTAGCAATAAGAACAACTATCCAGTCAATCTTAGTCAACTCTTTCTGAGTAGTTGAGTTAGTAAAGAATTTGAGAGTATACGTTAAAAACTGAGTTGGGATATAGAATGTAATAGGTTATAATGTAGAAAGTAAATTAATTTGTTATTTCACAATTTGACATATTTTTTGTTTACGATTTACTTTTGACAGGGCCGTGTTCCTTTAAAGTGGTTAGCTCCGGAATCTCTAGGTGATAAAATCTATACAATTAAGTCGGACGTGTAAGTTATCTAATAAAAACTTTCAAAATTAACTTATATGTTTATATTAGTATTCGTTTACTTGATGAATTTGTTAGTCGCAACAATGATTTTAGCAAACAAAATTATTGGATTAACTAATTAGTAATGAATATGGATAAGTGACTTGGTGATATCATTACCCTTGACACAAACAGTTATGAATCAAAATGTTGTATTCAGTTAATGGATCAAAGTACTTGTGCGTGAAGTCTGACAACTATATGGTACAACCTATTTCCACTAAACAAGTAAATAACAAACTAATTGTAATGGATTTACCTTGATATTAAATTTTTGAAAGGAATCAGTAGAGGGAGGACATGCCTGGTTTTATTAAAACTTTGCCTCTTAGTCATTATGGCTTAATTTTGGTCATAGTACAAAATAAATGTTTGCAAAACAAATTCATGCAGTTAGATCTAGAAAGCTGAATTACTTTATCTCAAGCTAATTAATATGTTGTTTTATTAACAAGAAGTGCATAAAAAACTGATGGATTAAAAGCTGAGTATATAAATGTGAGATCAGTCAACAGTATTATTTGTCTGACGAAAGCATCCTTAGTAGTATGTGAATCAATTCGTCGAACTATAATTATTCAAGTTCTGTATTTCTCCATATGTTTGATTCCTTTCAATTTCACTAATGATGAATACATACTCAATGTCGAACGAAGTTATAAATATATCTTGGCTGCATGAAAAACATACGTACGTGGCGTTCTAGTTAATAAAACTAAAAAGCATTAAATATCAGGTATAAATAACGAGTAAAAAATCCCGTTCGACATAGTCAAGCGAACACTGATTCATAAAAAATAGGAAACCTGGAAAAATATTGAGAGAAATAGCAGTTACTCATAAGTAATATAATTATATGAAGTAGTATAAATATGACACACCGATTCACTTCAGTCTCTACAACTCAGTTATATTACTAAAACCCAGTTAAATTCTGTTGACAAGCGGTTTAACTTAGATAACTTATTTATTAGGTTTTTGGTTATTAAGAAAGACTAAGTAGTATTAAATATACAATGGCTTTAAGTTACTTGAATAGAACTTTGGTTTATATGAATGATACATTTTGTAAGGTTGAAATATAACGAGACTTACAGTTGAGTACAACTAAATAAACTAATTCAGTACTTTATGAATAGCTTAGCGCTAGCCTATGTGAATTGATACTCGTTAAAGTTAATGGAAAGTGAAGATTTCCCATCATAAATACTGTTGTTTGAGCTATTACACTCAATGCGATACTGAGAAATTAGATATTTTGTGAAGTATTGCATATTGGCGTACTCGATTCTTATTATTTAATTCTCCAGAATAATTCCATATGACTAATATACTTAGCTGTTGCGTTTGCCTACGGTATATCAGTAAATAAGTCACGACACTAAATAGTCTTACACAAGATTTACTTGGACCAAGGCGAAGCGAGGAGTCAGACTAATTAGCTAGTGAAATGAATGCCAAGTATATGAATGTATGGGTCATTATACATCTATATAAAAATGTCTTGAAGCAAAACTTAGCACCTAGATCTAGTGGGACAAAGTCATCAGACAAAAATATATAGATGTTCTTATAGGTATTTATGTACACAGTTGAGCGTTCAGATTTACTTATTAGAGTGAATAAAAAGTAACCAATAGTATTAAAACTTTACATTTGGTTTTTAAGCCTTTGTCTTTTATCTTTTTAACACTGCCACTATTCAGAAAGATTAGTGTATGGTGTATATGGATAACATATGTGACACCATGCTTACTTTATGGGTGGTTTTCGTCACTTATTGACATCAGTTAGGAAATTATTATTATTTAAACACATAAACATTAGTACAAGAAGGCACCGAACATATATGCGCCACACAAATGATTCAATTTGCGTGAGAGCTGGAATACTGCCCGGGCACCCAAACTGAAGCAGGTGGTTTTCTTAGGGGGCCACACCTCGAGCCTTTGACCTAAGGGTCTAATCCACAAGGCAATCGAGCAACATTGGGAGATGCAGTCCCATGGTAGCCGGTGATCAACAATAAGTTCATATGCCATTTGTTTCCTCAGGATCCTGGAGCCCATGTGCACCATTGCCATACCTCATTAGCACATCAAGATGAACATTAGATTCATAGAAGTAGTAAATTCAATGGTGGCAATATATAAAAGAAAGATTGTATATAAGGAAAAAGAACTAGTTGGTATAAAGATATAAAGCAATTTTTATTTCACTGTTTAAGGGAAGACTAAGAGTGTATACACCTACGCCATTGTGATCGATTCTGAGCCATGTCAACAAGAGTCTCCAACCATTGGTTCCGAAAGTCACGCGGACCCCAACCAAGTAGTCTGCATCTACCAACATGGCTCAGACTAGAAGTTAGTGTCTTCAAGCACTGATGCCACGTTTTGGTTTGGCCGCCCCTAACTTTCTTCCAACCGTCTCCAACACTGATCAGCATTGAGTGCCGTGGTAGTTGGCAATCGGGCATGCGTAACACGTGGCCCAACCATCTCAGTCGATGAAGATTCACAACCTCATCAACTGACATACCATCATTTCCTAATACCCTGCGTCTAACCTCACTATTACTTATCCGGTGATCCCAGTAGATGCTGGCAATATTTCTAAGACATCTGTCATCAAATACTAGTAACTTACGAATATCCTCTACTCTTAATGACTACGTTTCGCAACCGTAAAGTAGAGTAGAACGAACTAACTCATAGTATACTCGTCCTTTTATTGAAAGACGAATATCTGGCCTTCTCCGTAGGTGACGTAAGTTGGCAAAAGTCAAACGAGGTTTTTGAATCCTTGAAGATATTTCGTCACATACCAACCCATTGTGGTTGATCAGACTTTCAAGATAAGCGAAGCTGTCAACGCGTTCGACTACTTCACTCCTTATCCTTAGTTTAGGTGTTGATGCAGGCCGGTCCTTAATCAACAATTTTCATTTCGAGGGTGAGGAGTGCATCCCTGTTGTGGATGCGCAGGAATAGACCAATAATTATCATGTTAAGTCCAGTGGTGTCCTTGGACTTTAAATGTACATTCCCTATTGGCTATTATTTATTCATTCGTTACATATTGCGTAAATGTTGTTTACTATTTTTATGGTACGCTGTGGTATGCTTGACTAGTATATAAACAAAGTATGTTTGAAATATAGTGATTCATATCTCAGAGGTTGTGACTTGTGTTCTGGACTCAACTAACTGGGCTAGACAGGGAAGCGAGACCAATAGAGACTCTAGGCCGTCCGTACGTGTTTTCCGTGTCATTGTACTGCGATCGATCAATAAATACGCTGCTTATCAAGACCTGCAGTCACATCAGTCATAACAATTGGCGACGGGGTGGAGAAAAATTTTGAACCTTGTAATTGGACGAGATTCAGGTTAATTGTTTCGACCAATCAGCATCCAGATTGTCACCAGCGTCCTTGAGCAACATTGGTCATTATTCCTACAGTTAATTTTCATTGCAGGTGCTGAAAAAAAAATGACTACCTTTTCCGATCGATTACAGCTTCTACTTGAGCAACAACAGCAGTGCTTCAAAAATAGCCAGTTAAATTTTTTAGAAAATTTACGCACACTGTTGGTAAATCTTCCATGTTTCCGAGATGGAACAGAAGTTGGCAAGTTCATTTCTCATCTGCAGACTGAGCTGGAAAACAACTGCAGAACATATGAAGCTGTTTATAAAAGCCTCTGTGAATCCCGGACGACCAGTGATGTAAACGAGACAATCATTCATGATCCGCCCAGTTGTCCAGAAATGTCAAATCCCGAAACATTCCCTGTTGTGGGTTCAAATCCCACTGTGCCTGAAACATGTGAGGTATCCAGCTTACAAGAAGAACCTCTCGTGTCAGAAAATGTTTCCCGTGCATCAAATAATGGTCAGAAATCTAATACGAATTTCAAAGATGCTGTTTGTTTTAGTGACCTATTATCCAGTGATAGAATTTTGAAGAGGTCTGAAGAATATGTTGCACAAGAATCAAACCTTAATGACCTCATGTCTGGTGTCACTAATCCCCATCATCTAGTCAGTTTTAGTGAACCCTCTACTCAATGCGCGAAATATGCTTTAATTCGAATCAGACTAACTGTTACTTGGGTATATGAGGACCCAACGTTATTTCGTGGGGGAGGATGACCCAGTAAATTTCGAAATCCGGATATCAACTCCGGATCTTCAAAAAAAAGGGGAGGTGTTGTGGATGCGCAGGAATAGACCAATAATTATCATGTTAAGTCCAGTGGTGTCCTTGGACTTTAAATGTACATTTCCTATTGGCTATTATTTATTCATTCGTTACATATTGCGTAAATGTTGTTTTCTATTTTTATGGTACGCTGTGGTATGCTTGACTAGTATATAAACAAAGTATGTTTGAAATATAGTGATTCATATCTCAGAGGTTGTGACTTGTGTTCTGGACTCAACTAACTGGGCTAGACAGGGAAGCGAGACCAATAGAGACTCTAGGCCGTCCGTACGTGTTTTCCGTGTCATTGTACTGCGATCGATCAATAAATACGCTGCTTATCAAGACCTGCAGTCACATCAGTCATAACAATCCCAAACATTCTAGCATTGTTGCTCTATGCTACCAAAAGACTGCATTTATTTGTCTGGGCATTAAAGTCACCTGCTACGAGTACTATATCTGAACGTTTAGCTGTGTGAAGAAGTTCAGAAAGCTTTCTGTTAAATTCATCTTTCACTTCATCCGGCTGCAGTCAGTGAGAGCGTAGGTAGAAACGACGTCAAGGCAACGACATGTGTCCCTATCCTTTCAAGTTCTTACGGAACCGTTTGGCCGAATAGCACATAAGCGACTGTTAATGGGGGTCCACTCTAATAGTGCTTGTTCCGCCCTCATGCTTAGTGCTATGCTTACACCTGCCAGTCCACGAGAACTGGCCGTCGGGTCACCAGATACACGGAGGGTGTATATTGTTAGCTCTCCGTTTTGCCGAGATGAGGTCAAGTGAATGACCACACTAGGATTCTGTATGCGTGTTTCGGAGACAGCATAAATCAATGGTACGAGATTGTAGGGTTTTAGCGAAGGAAGCCTGCTGACCGATTTGACATAGTGTGTGTACTCTGAAGGCTCCAATATGTAGTTTTTAGCGAGGTTTCAGTAGACCTGGGACATTGTTTTGAGCACTGGAATCGTTGGCTATGGTGACACTTGAAGAGAAATTCAAGGGAGCAAGTTAAGAGTTGACAGTCGACGTAGGAGGAATAATAGGGATTGAAGAGTGAGATTGATTACGAATACAGTGATCTTGATTGCTGTTACAGGTATGAGGGAGGTTGTCACTTCTCGGTCGCCCACACGGTGGAAGGGTTCTTCTGGAGGTACATGAAAATGAGATTGGATTAGAGGTGGTCATAGTGACCTGAGAGTGTGACCACAGTGCCCAAGGGACAACTGCTTGAGGTCGGTCTCACACGACCTTTTATGGGTAATTTTCTTGTTAGCTACGTACTTGTTGAGAACTTACCGCCGGAGACGGATATCCGTGGGATAAGGCGAAGTGTGCATTTTTAGGGTCGGCCTTTTCTAACCCCACTCCTCCTTGAGGGGAGGCATCATCGCTTTCATGCTGGTTGTCTGAAGGAAACACCTCACTGCTGTCACATCTCTGTACAGTCAGCAGTATGACTTCGCCTTCAGACCTTGGGTTTGTTGCTTTTGTTCTTACCGCTCTTCAACTGACCTGTGTGGGATGGTAGGACCTTGAGGAACGGTTGTTCCAGCCAGTATAGCTCGTTTGCTTCATCACGATAGGCAAGCCCGACCACCTCATCAAGGTGAGAAGGCATCGAGTAGGACTTCCATGTCAGTGACTGTGTACGCCTGGCCATGTGAGAGCATCTCAAGAGGGGGCGTTGATTCTCCACCCTCTCGACCGTACCAAGGCATTTGGGGTCCCAGGATACAAAAGGTCGTTTTTTGTCTTATTTGGAAACTTCAACGGTATACACTAGTAATGCCATACGGATTACATCCCAGGACATTTAGGTCCTGTGGTTAGTGCAATACTATCAGAATCCAGTAGTCTATATTTTGCAACCTTAATCAATTTGCGATCCTCATACACAGTAGCTGATAACCTCGACTTGGCTGAGCTTGTATTTTACATCTTCACATCATAACTTTGAAAATTACATTTAAAAGTCATTCGCAAACAGTTATATGAATATTATTTAGTTAGGAATTTTGTAGAGAATCTTACAGTTTTTCGAGTTTGCTTTTGTCACTAACCGACATCAGTTGGAGAGCTAATATGGACATACAGAGAACATTGAGTAATTGTTTATCCATAGTCTAGAAATCAACAATAGGTTATGAAATCTATAATAAACCTTGGAACGTTAAATTGTCAATGTAAAGTTTTCATGTTTATTTGATAAGGAAAGTTGACTGAAAGTGAGAATTCCTGGAAATATATAAACTGATATTTGGTTAAAACATATGTCACAAATTCACTATTTTGTCTGGGATAATAGGGTCACCAAATAGGTTGTCATAATGCAACGCTACATTGTATGATACATATCAGTTCTAAAAATTAACTCAGTCCAAATGGACAATTATAAGTTTCCTTATAAAAATGATATAAATGTACAATGGATTAGAATGAATTAAAAGTAATTATGCATTATTATGCTACATACACTAAACATTTACAAACTTCTTTTTACTGGAATTGAAATCGTTTTATTGACCACTGTCATTTTTTATAATTTAACTCCTTTTTTCTGTTCATTTCTTCTACCTGTGCCTAAATGTATAATTTTATGAATTGAATTGGTACATTTATTGTTGTAATGTACTTCTTTTTCTCTCTCTCTATTTATATCTTTCTCTATTTATCTGTCTGTTATCGATCAGTCTAAAATTGTGCAATAGAATTTCATTTTACATGATCAAACAAAAGGAAATCAATAATTGAAAACTTTAATGAAACACCCTTCAAAGTTGATCCTAGTTGGTCGGCTGTATTGACTGTGTTATTATCTTTCAGAAAAAGAAATATTGTGTTTACTATCTATCCTAGTTCTTTTGTCTATTCAAATTTGGTTTCCTTTTCTTTCTTTCCTGTTACATTATTTAACTGACACATAATTATTGTTAAATACTATATGAATTCCATTAGCTTATTGATCTCTTATATACAGAATGTATTATGTATAAACAGAGTTAAGAATGTCATTCTTAAAAGCTTATGATTTGTTAATAGTTGTAATTTGGACTTTTCTAAGTAATTTGTTTCTTCTTCCTCAACAACAGCAACAAAATTCGTTATTGTGTATATTTTAGATGGGATTATGATTGACATAAATTGACATAAATAAATAACTATAACAGTCTCTTTGAAGTTGATAGTACAGTAAATGGATCATATAGGAAGTTGTCGCGTAATTCTATATTGATAATTTAGTTTAATCATTGTATTGAAAATAAAAACTGGTCAAGTAAAAAGGAGATAACTGGATTTAATATAATTGAAAGTGATCAACAAGAAACTTTGAGATAGCAAATTCAAATCTTACAGAAAGCATTAACTTTCTGATGGTCTGAGATAAATCGTATTGACAAGTGTAAAATGACACGGAGCCTAGATACATGACTTTCTTGCTGACCGTCTACCTTTAAAAAACTAAAATTTAAATAAAGCGTACTCTATATCGACTTAAGTAGACTAGTGGTTACATTGAAATTTTGTCAACAGAATTTGATCAACACTAGGAACTAGACATACATGATATTGGCAAATATTCAATGATCAACCAGTATACATAAGTTATTTAAAGCTAAGAAGAAGTTGATCAAGTCGTTTTAACAAATTTTACTAAATAAATTAGGATTTTTCTGTAACTTGCGTTGAAATCATATCACGATTTCTATATGATTCACAATTCCAGTCAATAATTAATTGTACTTCACCATCACTCAATGTATTTTAGTAAACTAATCATAAATCACTCATATTGTACCTACCTTGATTTAAACATTATTCATTATTGTGATATTTTAATAAGATAGGTTATCAGTCAGTCATAAACAAGTCGGATTAACAAAGGTAATTCACCTTTTAATATATTTCCATATAGAAAGATATTTGTTATGAAGGAAAGTGATTTAAAATTGCAGTGATACAATATCATCGACTAATAAAACTGTTCATGAGACCGATTCCAAATTCCATTCGAATAAACTGTTATCAAAAGAATAAATAACTAGCCAATAGATAATATTATTATTCTACTAATATACCATTGCTTAAATACAGAATATCAATGACGAAGATAACCATAAGAGGTTATTTGATGAATTGTGGGGAATTGTGAAACATACAATTTTCATAGGTCACCGAATAACTGTCCAAACCAAATAATACCTCAAAATGGTGTTATTTTTTGTACTTCATTTCACAGTTCGTGAAACACAAGATTTCTTAGCTCTTAAAACTTAGACAAATTAATATAAGTTTTTTTTTCAAAATTTTCCTTTATTAGCTGGTCATTTGGTATACTATTGTGGGAGATATTCACCCTTGGCTCATCACCATATCCAAATATTAATGTAACAGAAATTATACATTCAATTCAATCGGGTGTACGTAATGAAAAACCATTATTAGCATCAAATACAATTTATCAAATTATGTGTAACTGTTGGCAGTTAGATCCAAAAGAACGATTATCATTTTCAAAATTAGTGAATTTATTAGAATTACAAATCAATGAACATGATGATCGTACTGAAATTAGTGAAACAACATCAGGAATATCAACATATCATGATGATGATAATCATAATAATTGTAACATTGATTTATTAACAAATAATAATGATAAAAATAATAAAAAATTAGATATGGACATTAGTAGTACGACTAATGGATATGGTAGTTTTGATTTCTCTGACGATGATCAACAGAATGATGAATATGTTCATCATCCTATTTTGTCAACAGCATTTACTTCAGTTTACTGTGAAATGAGAGCCTAATAGTTATAATGTACACTGTGGGGTTGGAAGTGAAGAAGCATGAAATGTAGAAGAAAATAAGTATTATATATGTATACTATTGTGATTATCTGTTATAGCTACATTTTTTAAATGTCATAATTCTTGTGTTTATTATTATTATCATCAGTGTTTTCGACCATTAAATAAAAGCCATTTTTCTCATATTACATGTTTTTCCCTACGCTTAATAGCATTTCACGTAGAAATTCCTTGTCAGATTGGTCGAATAGACAATCTGTGCTATTCGAATTAAGTTTATTAAATATGTTAGGTAAAAAAGTGTAATTTTAAAATTGATTTCATTATCCAGCACCGTACATGTTCTATCATATCATTTTCCCTATCTTGACAATTAGCAGATCTATGGTTTACGTTAGTTCACCAACGTATTAGGTTTTTTTTAATAGAGCAGTGGCTTGATGGCTAAGGCGTTCAAATTTCCACCACCAAGTCTGTGATTCGAACCCTGTTACAACAGCATTGGTTTGGGCAACCGGATAGAATCATTGGCCTTCATGCCTAGAATTTGTCTTGTATCAGGTGTTTGATGAATTAGTTATTTTGATTTCATTAAAAATTTAGCTATCATGCAACAGATTGCAAAAATGTTTTGTGATTACAGAATTGCAGCCGCACCTTTGTGTATTTATTACTCCAAATAATGAAGTTGTGCAAATAGCTTCCTAAATTTCTTTAGTTCAATATTCAGCTGTAGCACAGTATTTAGGAATTGATGTAAACATTATTTGCCCGTTTTAGAATATGGATTGCTTTGTTTTAATTTGCCTACCTCTATCAACATCTCTTTTTATCTCACATAGGTAAAACTGATGATTTAGTAGTAATGGAAATGTGGCCTTTCTAAGTTGTGGCTTCCTAATCTCCAACCTCATCATTAGCCTTCATGTATCTTCAATAGTGGATTAGATGGTCTTCTGTATTGTTGAATTGGTTATCGTGAACATTAGTTACTTGTTCATCTTTTGTCAGTTAATTCGAGTGGACTAAATTCTTGGATCTTAAGCTTTTACCATCATAACAGTTATTTAATAATCTACTTACATAAACTTCCTTGAAAATATTTTGCAATCGATTCATTTAACATTGATTACTTTTGTTGTAATAACGTTGTACTGTACTGGTTGTATTCGAAAAAACTTATTGAGAACATATTATTTTATTGACTTATCATGTATGCAATATGTTCTTGAATTGGTTCTCACTAGAGCTAAAATAACAGAAATTCACCTTTCTTAATGCTTTTGTGAAATATACGAAACTATTACTACTTCTACTGATTAACATGATTAAAGTTGTTTTGGCGCCAGTTTAAAAAAATTCGCACTAAAAACAATGAATTAATTATCTGTTTATAATATAGTATTGAGTAGAGCGATTATTATCACAGAGCAATTTTTCAAATTCTAAGAAGAGATGGTGGTGGCTAGTAGTGGAATCCAGGACGAGTGTTCCATCCAGTTTGGGACTCGTCAAACGGATGAACCTGCATCCCAGATTTGATGTACACCTCGGGACTCGAACCCAGTACCATTCGCTCCAAATACCATCGCGTTATGCACTTAGCTGCTGAGTCCTGATAACCACTAGCTTGTGCAATGGGGTGGAGTTTAATTCATTTTTGTATCGGTTGTTTGAATCTTCCCACTGATGTTTAGGACTGCAATTAATCCAAGTACATCCAGCTGACGAGTCCCAAGTGGAACGGAACCCACGTCCTGGATTCCACTGCTAGCCACCATTATCTCCGTTTATAATGCTTGTGACTTAAGGCAATATTGAGGTTATCCTCACAGGATGCACATATATCAATAAGAGACTAACCAATTTTAGTCCTAAACGTCAACAGAAGATTCAAATAACCAATACGAAATGAATTCCTTTCAAATGGTTTGAATCATTGAAATTTAAAACCAAATTGTAAACCACTAGAGTCAGATGTTTAGTCTGTAGCGTGGGGTCGAGTCGAGATTGACTATGAACACCGCTACAAAGGATCGCGTGCCAAATAAATCAGAAGGCGAAGGTTGAACGTAACCAAATAAATCCATAAAATCCCCGAGAAGCGAAATATCAGTAGGCAATTAATGGACCAAATCGAGATATATTCGCTGGTGATCTCGTGGTATCGAAAGGATACCGAGATCGTGCCAGGATACAAGCTTGGTTACAGAACGTAACCGAATTCGCGCGAAGTCGCAATCAAAGTGTAAGAATAAGAATGGAAGCACAATATAGCTGTCATTAGCACAGTCAAACAAAAGCACATTAAAATAAACACTGGTACAGTTGGTTATAATAATAATTGTTTTTATTAAACCAGTCGTGTTCTCGTGATAAATGTGAGTCACTACAAGTCAATGAACTATTTATTCTTCAATCTACCTCCCTTATTATCAGTGTTCATTGTTCAGTTTTACAAAAAATCATGTATTTGTACTTGTATTTTAGAAAATGTTCTTTTGTGAACAGTGATGATAATATTTGCTAAAGCATATAACCAACTGAAAAGTTTGCCAATTATTTTCCATATGATCGTCTCTTAATGTATGTTGATTTAACCTTACAAATTCTTGATTTCTCCATGTGATATGTGTCACACATCTATGTGTATACACATAGGTATTGAAATACATCTCTCTTTAATGTACTACTAATAATACAAATAATCTATTAACTGTTGAATTCATTTCATAAACTTATACATTAGAAAAGATATTCCGTTTTCAGAGGAAAGAATAATTAGTTCAGATAATGTATAACATTTCAGTGTAAATAAGGTGTTAATTATTTCATGATGAAATAATGTGAATATATGAAGATTATTTTTTATTATAATGTGTGACACATATAGGAAGATTAATTCATTTTGCTAAATTTCTATGTGTACACATGACTACAACAAAATTAAAAAAGGTCATTTTTGGTAAAATAATAATAATAATTTATAGTTGACTTTTCCATTAATTTACTTTTAAAAAATTAATAGTGTTTTATGTATTTAAGGAAATTGGAATCTCAGATCTATCTAATTGCACTCTATTAACTACGAGTTAATCAGTACATGAAAACTGGAAAAGACTGTGAACACATATGATTGTCGGATGTATGAATAGAGAGTTTAATTATGTACAAAACATTTTTCATTTCACATAAAGTCAGAATAATTCTTTATCATTTCGTGAGAAAAATCAATTAGATTACGTAAAATGGTATTGATTGACGGACTAAATTGATATTTGAAGCTAGAAAGCTTTAGATATGAGAATGTAAGATCTGGTTTGTAGTTGAGTTTCTTACTTCAGTCTATAGAACACTGGGAGTGACCCAGAAAATTCCTCGCAAAAAGCCACAAAGGTTCCTGAAAACACTGGGAAACATTTTATTCAATCAGCATTGAATAGGAGTATCTCGGAGATATTTAGGATGTGAAGAGTCACGCGTCACATTTCTGATTGGATGGTTAACCATCCTGTTACTATGCTTAGTAGGGTTCCAAAACTCTTCAAAAGCCCAAGGCCACCTGAAGTGCTATAAATACCTTAAATTTACTGTACATAAACTAACTTTGAAGTGAAGCATTCTTTCCATATTTCGCACCTTTTCTCTCGTGTAGCGTTAGTCTGGTGCTATTAGAAGAGGTTGGAAAACCGATCCAAGCGTTCAGTTAGATGACTTACCACTTGCATTATGGTTAATTTTTTAAAATCTTAACGTGATCCAGCTTAATTTTCATTCAGAATTATTACAAGTGGATAGAAATAAATACGACCATGTGAATGACATTAGATTATTTTCATTATTTCTGTAAATTTATTTGTACATAAATTTGGTCAGTAATCCATCATAACAATGGGACATGGTTATTTGGTTTATTGTTTTACTTGTTAATTACATCTCAGAATAAAAAATCAACTTAGTTAAATTTCTTGTTGTAATTAACTACCATTAGTTGTTGAGCATCTGTCGATACATCGTTTGAATTGAAAATATATTTAACAGTTGTTTTACTTTAAAGACTTTTAATACCTTTAACCTTTAATTCTTTGTCTCACTTACAAGAAAGTCTACTTCTTTGACAAATTATCTATATTATTTTCCATGGTGGTCTATTTTCAACAGACTCATGATCTCAACTGTTGAAATTACTACAATCTCCACAAAACCCCTTCTGATACTAATCAACATATGCTCACGAGTGACTGGCTTCAAGAGTTATATCCTGGAGTTCTAGTGAGAAGCAGTGACCATTGGAGTTCAACCGGGTCAGTTGTGAGATAGTAACTCACTGATGACAATATTAGATGTGTCTCTTAATTTCGTGGACTAGTTGAAGTTAGACATTAACACCGTTGGATGCAAACTCAGTCGTCTAGTAAGTTAAGCGCCTGGCGCGAGACTGATATGTCCTGGGTTAGAATCCCGCGAGGCGGGGTCGTGAATGCGCGCTTCTGAGGAGTCCCGCAATAGGACGAAACGGCCGTCCAGTGCTCCCAGGTTTCCAATATTGGTTTAGCTTCAACTGACTCATGATTTCAACTGTTGAAATTACTATAATTTCCACATAGCCCCTTCTGATTATATGAATTAGCTGAAACCTCAAAATTTGTTACTTTTATGTAAACAGTTTTAGGTGGAAGACATCCCAAATATAGATCTTGTGTAAATAATTCAAGGATACTAAAATTACGAGAATAATCAAGATGATAAAACTGATGTCGGTTTACTTACAATAAAAGATAGAAAGAGAGTACTAACTATCTTCAACCATTGTCACAAGTGTTCTATTCAAAATGAGTAAAATAGCAAATTTCTAAGAAGTAATTGATTGTATTTAGAATTTTCATACCATTTATTTATTGTAATGGTGATGAAAGAATATATTGTTCATAATCATGGTGAAAGATATGTAGAAGGTAGGATGGAATGTATTAGTTGTATTTATATACAAATTAAATTCA